CAATTTGAGACGTGCCCACCTCTGCAAGTCACACAAAAACAGCTGTGGTTGGTTATTTTGCATATCAGTCAAGTGGCCCCTTCCTGTCAAAGTAGGAGGTTCATGGCCATGTTAAGCTGTAAAATGCACCAGACCCTTTTATGATATAAGTCTAGCCTGTGAGACCACTCTTGGGTAAATAGAACCCAGTATACTTAAACATAAACATGCCAAAAGGAATTTATGCAGTGATGCCATAAAAATGTGTCAGACTCCAGTCCTTGTGGGCCAGAGCACTGCAGACTTCAGTGTTGTGCTTCATTAAACACACCCATTCAACTCAGAACTAGAATTCTTCAACTGAAATCATAGCATAACATAGAGAAAACACTTATCTCCACAGATCTCTGGCCCAGAAGGAACCCGATTTGACATGGCTGTCATGTAACTAGCAAGGACCTTAAAGCTACACTATGTAAGTTTTGGAGATTTGGAGACATCTCTGGGGAAAATGTGTAATTGCATGCAATGTGCGGAGGAACATTGTAACGTGAGTAATGCTTCAGAGCCCTTCCTTGATCGTATGAATCTGATGATTGCGAGTTTGTTGAAAGATTGTTCAAAGAAAACTTTGTGAAAGACTTTTGAAGGTGTAAGTGAATTAACTACTGTTGTAGTTGCCGTCATATTTCCTTCACTAAAATATTGATTTTGGATTTCATGCGTAAAGACGAAATCTGATGTGGCCTGATTTTTAAATTTGTATTTTAGACTTTACAGGGTTTGCTGTTCTTTTCTAAGTAGAGGGAAAGCAGTGAAGTTATGTCTTAAGTAATCTGCCAAAAATGCTGCACTATTCCTTTATATAAGCACCCAGTGAAATGTACTTTAAGGAACCAAATTTACTTCTTCTATGGCATTACTCCAAAGATCAGTTTTGGCACCTTTATGTAGAGTGTGCTCTGCTCTGGCACAAATTCTCTCTTAGCTGGTTGACCTATGTTCTACATGGAAGACCCAGCATTTAGCAATTATGATAGGCTGCTATTGCTCAGTGAAAATAAGCAGTCAGCCAGATAAGTATGTTATTAGTCTATATCAAGCAACCTTGCAGTGATATGTTCATTAGACTATTTCTGGAAGGTGACTTATATTCCCTCTGTGTGTGCTTTTCCTGTCCTTTCTTGACAAATCTAAGCTTGTGCTAAGAGGTAGTGTTTTTTTAATGTCACAGCATTGTGCTGCTGGAAAAAAAATGTGACTTAAAGGGCAAAATGAGATGTAGCAGGACACTGTCTAATGATCTATCAATAATCTGTTTTCAAAGACATTTTTCATATCTTACTGTCTGTTAAAAAGAGACCAGTCTCTATGTCTAAAAAGGCTTTTAAAGGCCAGGAGCTCTTCTTCACACTTTCTGAGGTGTTTGGTAAAGCTGTAGATGTCTCACATCAGCAGCAGCATCTTGATGAATGTGAATTTGAAGCATTAGACCATCTGCAGTTTGTGTACCACTCTCCTTGCTGCTTGCTGTCCTTGAACACCCGAACAAGCAGACCTCTTATGTCAGGATGCAATTTATCGACTGCAGCTCTACCTTCAATATAGTCATCCCCACGAAAGCTGGCATCTAAACTCCAGAAACTGTACAACTCCATCTGCATGCACGTCCCGATCTGACCTGCACTGGAGATGTTGAGCTTTCAGTCTCAGCTGAGTTTGAAACTTTGTGGAGAACAATAAAGAATTAATGTGGAAGTGCACGCATGCTGCACACCGCATGCACGCAATCACTCCCTCCTGACTCGGGCTGTGTGTACACGTGCCACTGTGTGTGTAGTGATGTGCTTGTGAGTGAATGTGAGTGATGTCCATTGAGATATAAATACTGTAACTACACTTTTGTACTAGGCCTTTTACGTCAGAAGCCTATCCATGCATATAACTTACCCTTCCAATCTTGATTCCATTCATAATTCAGAGTTTACAATATACAGTAAGCAACATACAGTAAAATTCTTACTTTTTATTTTCCCATAGATGTATGTCTGCAAATTTTTGTCCGTATGGATCTGTTCACAACAGCCATACACACAGGAATAAGCACTTGCACACTCACAAGGAGATATCCACAGCAGTACTGCCTCTGCCGCATCTCTGCTTTGTTGGATTGAGTTGGATTTGTCTGTAAATGAGTTTAACCTTATTGATTGAGTCAATGTCAATAAATAACTTAAAGCTGCACTATGTAAGTTTTGAGTGTTTGGAGAGCTCCCTGTTGGAAACATGTAACTGCATGGAATGTGCGGAACAACACTTTTGTAACATCGGTTGAATTTGGACCCCTTCCCTGAGTGGATGAATCTGATGAATGTGAGCATGTTGTAAAAGTATTCAAAGAGAACGCCGTCAAAACTTGGTGAAGGATATAAATTAACTATCTAATATTGTCATCATGCCTTCATCAGTATCATGTTGAATTTTCTGTGAAATCCAACCAACTGTCTCTGACTGAATGATTATTTCAGGTCTTACAGGGTGACTCGCATGGACACCATATTTTAGCATGTTTTTTTCTCCTGACTCAGTACTGCTCTTTTAATATTAGCAAAAAAATCGTACCTGGTGCCGCTTTAAACAAACATTGTATAATTAAATTTAAAAAAATAATAAACTAGTTAAAGTTCTAGTTTCTGTATGAATACAATATGTAGTACTTTACCCAGCAGGACATAACCTGATCAAAAACACATACTGTATTATGATGATGTAATTAAAATGAACATTGCAGGTCCGTGTTTAGTTTAGCTATGTTACAATTAGTGCTGGCTATAGTTAAAAAATTTTCACTTGTATCCTGCTACATAAGCCTAACATAACCATGCTGTAATCATGTCATGGCAATTGTCATATGATGTCATGAATTGTCTTGATGGATTTTATTCAGTAATAATACAGTGTCATGTTGCCTTTACATGTAATTGTCATAGTAGATGCTATAATGTTATATTAAGCTTATGTCATATGCTCAGTGTACTCTACTTAGCCATTATGACATATGTAATGATAATTACTGGTAATAGTACTATATATATAATTATATATATAGTTATATTACTGGACATAATCTGTCGTGACAGCTCATGACAGCAAATGACATCTGCCATGACATGTTTATGACATGGTTTAGTCAGTGTTGTAGACCACGGAAGTCATGGGTCATTCTGTAGTTGGCATTATGCCCATATTTGGAGCTCGAATTCTCTTTGTATAAAATGAATGGGGTTTTCAAAAAAAAAAACCTTTATCGCTCCCTGTGGTAAATAAAAATATTCAGGACCCAATACGTTTTGTCCAGTGTGCATCTTACTCCCGTATAACCCTGGATCATCTGAATTATGAGGTTGTTAAAGAGTTGTAATACTAATATTGCTACATGCAAGCTAATGCAGCTTTGCCTTAATTTGCCGTCACTAGGCTACATGAAAGTAATGCAGGTGTTCTGACAAATTGTGTAACTTTGTTGAAATGTTCTGCCATAGCACATGTTACAGGTAGCTCTGTACATAAAACCTCTAGGTTGGATATTTTTATAGTTTGAATCACCTTATCAGAAAAAAAAAAATACTACCAGCATTAACACTATGAAGCTGAAGTTGGCTTCTTATTTACCAGTTTCTTGTTTGAATTTTCCTTAGAGTATTTGAGTCCTTGATATTCACGAAAGAAAAAGTGGATAAGAAAGACACCATTTACAAAAACAGAAATATGCAGACACAGAGCTAAATACAAATCTTGCTTTGAGCCCCTCTAATGGAGAGCTGCACACATGCATTTGTTGACGAGCTTAAGGATAAAGAAAGCTTTTGCCTTGCGATTCATTTATTTCTTTGTATGCTCACCTGATACTGTCTGCCTGAGACTCTCTCTCATTCTTTTATCTCTTTTAGCTTGCTCCAACGAGTAAAATCCAGTCTGAGATTTACTCTTGTCCAGTCTCTTGATCGGTCACTCTCTCTTTTTCTCTTCCTCGCTTCCTCCAAAAACATCTTCTTTGGTTTCTTTGCAGCCTTTGCCATGATGTCCTTGCTGGGAATATGTCTTATAGCTAGCTAAAGAGCTAAAGAGCAAGCTAAACATGGCACTATAGCAGGCATCTGGGCTGCAGTGGCAATGACAAAGATGCCATTCTCCCTATTATCAATCAGTGTACCATCAAAATCATTTTGAAGCTGTTACTTTAAGGTAAAATTGTCACATAGTGTTGCTTTAAATGGTGCATAGATACAACCCTTCTTCAGTGGTTTATGTAGCAGTGTTCAAGTAAAAATTGCCAATTTTTCAATACAGATACCAGTATTAATACCTTGACTTTGATGCCGATTCCTAAGTGATACTTTTTCTGAGATTTTCTCAGATTTTTCAGAGCTTTAATAATGTGGAGGAAGCAGTGCTTTCTTTTATTTATTGGCAGAATCTTATTACAAATGGTGCCTCACCTTGCATTGCTGTTGTCAGTCAGAAATGCCAGCTGTCTGACTCACTCAGTCAATTATCTGTAACTCCATTGAAACTCCATTTGCTAGGACTGAATTTAGCAAGAAAGCATTTTACTTCAAAGCATCTGGAATCAGTCTCAGTTATCTGTATTTAATTCTACTGAATTAGTTCAAGGCTTTAATGGGAAACCATCTGGCATGCGAGCATACTTGTTTTTCTTTTCTTTTTTAATAAATGTTTTCACAATTATGGTTTTCTTTGTTGACTGCATGTTTTATGTTTTATGCTAATGTCATGTTCTTTGGAGCCCTGCTGTGAAATGAGCTTTTGGTTTCAGTTGGGTTTCCTCTTATAAATAGCTATTAAAATAAAGTAAAAGAGTAGAATAGAATAGTGCAGGAGAAGTGTGGATTCCAGAGTTGCGCTCACTTCTTCTGCCCAGTTTAATTCCCACAGGAGAATACTTTATCCAGCAAAACTCTGTTTACTTACTTGTTTACTCTCTACCTCTCCCCCTTCAGAATCAGAAGTCATCTACAGGAACCGCAATGGCCATGTCATCAGGTTCAACATTCTCACTAATGAAACAGAGATTATCCTGAAGAACAGCACATTTGTAAGTGAACTTGTTTTCTCCTAAACATTAGGATCAGCACATGCACTGTCAGCAGCCTTATCTTCACAATGACTTTAGTTCAGGGACACAACAGAACGCTTCTCCTCACACTGTAAAACTGTATAAATTCAAGCATGGGCAAATTTAAAAACCAACATGTTCCTAGAAAAGGCATTTATTGCTCATGGATCATCAGAATAGCACTGAATCTTTTAATGTTGTCTTTTTCCACAGGTTGCTTTTAAAGCCACTAAGTACTCAATAAGCCCGGACATGAAGTATGTGCTTTTTGCATATGATGTTAAACAGGTATGTATGTATTCACTATTTTGCAGTGGGATTGTTCAAATCAAGATCAATGAAGTACAGTTTAACCCTTTGAAGTATAATGTAATTTCTGTTGCTTTGCTGTACTATTTAAATTTATAATTACATAATTTGTGACATAATGAATCACATTTACATTCTTCATTGACAGGTGTGACTTTTCTTAATGGAAACATTTGATTTCTAACATTTTCCTTTTGTTTTGAAAATGAAAAAAATATGGCAATGATGTGTAGGACTGATTTCTATAACATACAACCATGCACACAATAATAACTTTTAATGAAAGTGTCATAATTAGAATGTAATGTTGAGCTATGAATTTAATACTAAAATGTAATGGCTTAAATGTAAGGAACAATAACTGTGACTTTCAAAGGTTGACCAGCTTTTAAATGTTTTTTAGTGATTTGATATTTACATGTCTAACATTTCTAACATACATGTAGTCTTGGCGTGGTTGTTTGGAAGTTTTTGTCTATTCTAGTGCTGTTTAACAGTTATCCTCACCTTCAAATAAGATAATATAGTGCACTAATGGCACCATTGTCCATCAATACCTTGCTTCCGGTTTGTGAACTATTCAAATGCAAATAAGTACATTTCCAAAAAAGTTTGGACACTGTGAAAAATGTAAATAAAAACAAAATGCAGTGATGTGCAAATCATTTAAATGCTATATTTCGTTGAAAATACTTCAAAGACAACATAACAAATGTTGAAACTGAGAAATTTTATTGTTTTTTGAAAAATATTTGAATGTTATTATTTGACTTACAGAGTGTTGTTAAAAGAACAGGTGATGAAACACAGTGGTAAACATGCCCCCATCCCAACTTTTTTGGAACATGTTGTTGGCATCAAATTCTAAAAGGGCATATATTTTTCAAAAAAACAAAAAAAATTCTCTGTTTCAACATTTGATATGTTGTCGTTGTACTGTTTTCAATGAAATATAGGGTTTAAATGGTTTTTACACCATTGAATTTTGTTTTTATTTACATTTTGCACAGCATCTCAACTTTTTGGAAAAGGGGTTGTAAAATAGTGGAGAGTAGAGAGAGAGAGAGGAAAAGAGAGAGAGAGAGAGAGAGAGAGAGAGAGAGAGCGAGCGAGAGAGAGAGAGAGAGAGAGAGAGAGAGAGAGACAGAGAGAGAGAGCGAGCGAGAGAGAGAGAGAGAGACAGAGAGAGAGAGCGAGCGAGAGAGAGAGAGAGAGAGAGAGAGAGAGAGAGAGAGACAGAGAGAGAGAGCGAGCGAGAGAGAGAGAGAGAGAGAGAGAGAGAGAGAGAGAGAGAAGACCAGACAGTATTGTGTGGGAGGTCGAGAGAGAGAGGAGCAAGTTAAACTCTTCGTGGATTACAAGCTTTAATCTTGTTACTGTAGTGATTAATCTGATGAACACCTCTATCTATTCAGAGAAACTAGTCAGCTCCCAACCCACTAATAATTCTCTAATGCTCTTAGAAGTGTGTGTGTGTGTGTGTGTGTGTGTGTGTGTGTGTGTGTGTGTGTGTGTGTGTGTGTGTGCTCATGTGAACACGCACTTGTAAATCCTTTCGCTGATTTGTCTTTTGTTTGAAATTAGGCTCTACAGAAAAGTAAGATTAGACACTAAGGGGTGTAACAGTCCACTTAGCTCATGACTCAATTGAATTCTTGAAATTGAACTCACAATTCGATATTCTAATGATATTTTGAATTTTAATTAAAAAAGGTGAGGACTGTGTCCATGTCATCACACAATCTACTAACAAGACTGGATCTGAAAGAGTGATGTGTGTACTTGTGTGTACTTAGTTACTGACAAGGTGGCCGACAAGACCCTGTTCACAGTACAATTAAAAACATGATGCAAATACAGAAAACGCTTTCATCAACATGACTACATCAGAGCTAAATCTTACAAACACACTGCAAACACAGAAAACACAGGCAGCTTCAGAAACGCTGCAAAGCCAGTCATAACACAACAGAAATATTTCTGGAAGACTCAACTGGGATGGAATATCTATGACAGAAAATCACTGACAGAAGTAGAGAAGACCACAGACCATAGGCGTGTCTAGCCCCTTTTTAGGGGTGTTCTAAATTGACCCTAAAAATAACAGTAAAAAGTTGTTTTGTTCTTTTGTGTGAAAAAAAAAAAAAACGCAAGTTTGTCTCTGATAAGCAAATGTTATGATCCACTTCCTCTCTCCTACTCTTTGCCATGCAGTAGCTGCGCTGAGTGTGCATGTGCACACTAGAGCCAGTTACTGTGTGACTGTGTGGTGAGGCGGCTCCAGTAAGTAGCGCAGACGAGGATTTCTTATTACTCCAACACATTACAATCATTAGCAGCAGTCCTCATTTTTGCTGCACTGAGTCAATCAACAACCATCCGCTGTTTGAATTCGAGTGAGAGAAGCTAGCTGTCGTTCCGTTGATAAGCCTATTTGTTGATATTTTTTACTTTTATGCTGCGTAGAAAATAAGTCTGAATGACTCCGTCCTCTTTGAGTGTCCTCCAGAAACATATCCGTTGAGTTGTAACTAGCTTGTCAGCGTTTCTGAAGTAGCATGTGCTTTCTGTATTTGTAGTGCGTTTGTGAAATCTAGTCATCATTTTGATGAAAGTGTCTTCTGAGTTTGCAGAGTTTCTTCGAATTTGCAGTGTGTTTGTAAAATGCAGCTCCTATGTTGTCATTTTGATAAAAGTGTTTTCTGAGTTTGCAGAGTTTCTTCGAATTTGCAGTGTGTTTGTAAAATGCAGCTCCTATGTTGTCATTTTGATAAAAGTGTTTTCTGAGTTTGCAGCTAGTTTTTTATTTGCAGTTTGTTGGGTCTTCTCAGCCGACGTATTTAGTGGTTGCGTAGACTAGTTGACTTGTTGATTGATAAATCCAGTAGTCGACGCTGTTGGTAGCAGTCGAGGAGTTGGGGACAGTAGTCCAGTAGTTGGGGTCAGTGCCTGAAATACGGCAGTGGTAAAAACTGCAGTGAACAGCACCAAGAAAAGAACCAAAATCAGTTTTTCTGCTAAGCACAAAGCCCAGAGTACTTAATAAGTGTGGATATGAAACCAATTCCACTGCAAGCTGCATAAGATGAAATACAGGCTCGTAAGCCAGACTGGGATTTTGATCTGTGATAGGACAGGGCCATTTGATTGACATGCCAAACATCCAGTCGCATCCACACTGTTTAGTGTGACATGCTCGTCGGCAAACACACAAGGAAGTCTTGTTTACTTGCTAGCCGCAATTCAGGAATGGCGTTTTAAAAAGAGATATCATAAATATGTTTCCTGGTTCAGTGACTAGACCTATAACCTACCATGCTCTCAACAGCTTATTGATGAGTAGAACTGCTTACTACTACCACTGAGCTTGATAAAGTCATTTCTTTCCTACTGGACAGTGCACGAACTAGAGCCAGTTTAAAGTCTTCATGAGAGGTGCAGTTTACAGTCAATCTGTGTATGAGTACCTGAGACTGAAACTTACTGAAATACGGCTAAAACCGGTTTTGCATTGAACATCTCGCTTCAAACTGCAACATTTGGAACTAGAACAGCTCCTATTAGCAACCTACTAACAAAATACTTTTCACAGGCGTCGAGAACACTCACATTTTTTAATGTGCACTTTTTTGAATGACTACTTGACCAGTAAAAATCAATGTCATGCATCCTTCTGATCCTGCTCTCATGAAAGACTCAATCTCCCAGAACTCCCTGGGAGATCACATGACTGTCTCCCCACCAACTCCAACCAATCTCCGTTCTCCCTCGCCTGAATATTGATATGCAGCACCTGTGTCTGATTATGATGTCTTGTTTAGTTAGTATATAAGCCCAGGCTTGTAGTCTAGGTCTTTGTGAGGTATTGCGTCTTTTGTAGAGCTACTGATTGGTTTTTGTGTGTTGTTGCTTTTCCTGTGTACCGTTTACATTGCCTGTTTTTCTGGACTCTGCCTTTTGTCTTTTCCCTTTTGGACCGTTTGTTATGTACATTCGGATTTATCCGGCTTTGACCTTGACGTGTTCTTTGAGTACGCTACTCTTGAACCCCAGTAAAGATTGTTTTAACCGCACGCGTCTGACTTGTCTGGCTGCGTTACACAATTGTTGTACAAAATCTAATGATCCTGAACATGGTGTGTAAACCTTTGGTGTTCAAACAATGCAACTACATTAGATGGCATAGTTAATAGAATGAAGCTGAAATCGTCCACCTCCATGATGCACATCAAGCAAAACTGCTTACTACTGTACTATACATACTACTTTACTGAATTCATTACTATCTGTGGTGTACTGTTTTCACATATTATTTAATATGGTAGTCAGTGGTTTTGGACGCAGCCATTGTCACATTTTTGTATCACAGTGTATTGTGACACAGTGTATCGTTACACTCTTATTAGACACTCAAAGCGAATTGGGATTTTAGATTACACCTTGTTACGCTCACAGCTGATGATAGTTATTGCTTGAATCAGGAACTGGTAGGGAAAAAGCCTGGACTCACTGCTACTTTGTGAGAGGGCAGGGGTCACTGGAAAAGACAGTTACACCACTGTGAGTATCTTAATTTCAGCAGGCCTCTGAATGGGCCATAAGGCTAATTCACTTTACTTGGTATAGTAACTGTATGAATCAGTAAACACATGTTCTGCCGATCTTTACTACAGAGGATCCATAGTCCTGTATCACACTTACTTTCAGAGGCAGCATATTTTATTCACTTAAGCAGAATAATTAGTCAAAGCCAGCATCAGATTCAATGCCATTACTCACTCTCACTGTTTCTACGAGTGAGAGATCCAGTCGTCACTCTGCCTCTTACTTCCGCTTCTCCCTTCTTCTCCTTCCATCCATCCATCTTTCTCTGTCACACTCTCTCTCCATTCCTCTATTCCTCATCTGCTCTGCATAATTCAGAGCACAATTCATGCAGCTCGAGTGAAAAAAACTGTTTTGTTTTATAATAGCACTCAACCACCCACACAATACTGTCTGGTCTTCTCTCTCTCACTCTCTCTCTCTCTCCCTACCAGTTTTTCTGTCTCTCTCTCTCTCTCTCTCTCTCTCTCTCTCTCTCTTGCTCAATCTCTCTTTCTCTCTCTATTGTTTTTCCTGTCTCACTTTCTCTCTCTCTCAATATCTTTCTCTCTCTATTGGTTTTCCTGTCTCTCTCTCTCTCTCTCTCTCTCTCTGTCTGTCTGTCTGTCTGTCTGTCTGTCTGTCTGTCTCTCATTGCCTGTCTGCTTGTCTGTCTCTCTGTCAGTTTCTCATTACTGCAACTGTCTGCCTGTCTGACTTACATGTCTGCATGCAGAGGCCTATTCCTCTTTCTCTCACTTTGTCTATGTGTCTACATCTTTCTATTCCTCTCTCTCTCTCTCTCTCTCTCTCTCTCTCTCTCTCTCAGTAGCAGTGATGGCTGTTTCAGTAGTTGTGTGTAGTGTAGTACCGTCTCTCTTGGTAGCTCTCTTGGAGATGAATGTAGCCCTGCTCCCCGCTATGATCTGACCTCATGAAGGAGCTCACCGGTTCTCTGATCTGGGCTCATTCAGGAGCCTGTAACCAATCTGCTTTCTGATCTGAGCTCATGCAGCATCCAGCAGCCAATCACTGCATCACTGCTCTGTCTTTCAGTGAGAGAGTGCTGTAGTCTTGCATAATAGATCATGGATTTTTGTATCACTTATGTCTGAATATGTAACTGTGTGTGTGTGTGTATGTGTGTGTGTGTGTGTGTGTGTGTGTATGTGTATGAGACTGATCAAGCTGTCTGCTGCTGGCGGTTTGCAGCCTGTAATTCATCTTTACCGAGATGCTGTGAAGCCAGTTGATGCCATTCAAGCTGTTCCCTTTGATCCTTTACCACAGCGCTTCCCAAATCCACACTACTGCTGCGCTGCACAGTTTACTGTTTTTCTGTGCAGCAGCACATCTGAAACAATTCAGCAGCTAATTATGTATCAAAACAAGCATCCTAATACCTGAATCAGGTGTGTGGTAGTTTTTACTGCATGAAAGGTATTAAAAATCTGAACACTTGAATACTACAAACAAAAAGATGCAAAAGAGCTCAAAATAGTTCATATTCAAAGTTGTTTGACTGCAGGGATCTGTGCAGCTACATGACAATAAGTGACACATTTACTTACATAATCATTTGCATTTTCATTCAATTAACGCTACGGCTTGTCATGTTTTTTTACTGACTTCTTTCAAAAAAGTACAAAAAAACCTTCTAAAATTCCCCTTCTACATGATATAAAATTATCTCCTATAAAATAATCCATCTGTCTGTCTGTCTGTCTATTTACACTAGCATTCAAAAGTTTGGAAACACTTGTCATATTTATCATTGCTGTGATTTTATTCAATAATGCCTTTTACAGTGAAGATGGAAACATTATAATCTAGACAGTTGAAGGCATTTCAAGATGTTTCATTAAATACTTTTTTGGCTAACACTAAGAAGTTATTAAATGATAAATAATACACTGTAATAGTGATCAATTCATGAGGCAGATCCTTTATCCAAAATGTACTATTTATGTTTTTGGTACATTTTCTGCCTCAAGAATTGATCACTATATTTTAAATATTGTGGATGTTTATTTAATTATAATTTCATTCCCCAGTGTTTTGCAGATTTCTTTGTCAAAATATGAAGTTTTAAAGTGGTACCATCATAAGAGAATAATGTTATCCAGTTATGGGCAACATTTTTTTTTTATTTTGTTTAAAACTGTGATTCCAAGGTTTTGAACACTAATGTATATAGATATTTCAAAGTCAAATTTTGGTCCCACAGAAAAAAAAGCTATTAAAAATTCAGACCTTAGATATTTACAAGGATTATTTACAAGGTGTTAACTGAGTTAGTACTAAGCTAAAAATATACAAAATTATTGTTTATAGGGTTCTCTCTATTGGGAGGTGGCTGTCCCAAACCCTAAACAACCCTGTTGTTTTTAAAAGGATCTTTTTGATTTCTTTTAAAGTGATGTTGAAAGATTTAAATTTATCATGAATTAAATTTTTTAATTAAAGAAAACTTTTTTTAATGAAAATAGCTGTTCCATATTTTTGTGAAACCTTTAGTCTGTAGGCAGAGCCTTATTTTAGCCACACCCCTGCATTTTAGAGGAGGAAGTGAGTCTGCATCCCTGTCCCTCATGGTCACATGGTGAGCAGTTAGATTCCATTGTTTTGAAGTAAATGTGTCTCAGAGTCTGAAAATGAGTGTGTAATCTGAAGAATTGTACAGCTGTTCAAAGCTGTGTTTGCTAGTCATGTACTGGCAAGTGTTTTTGAATTCTGCTCAAAAGTAGCTGAAAGTTTCCAAACTGAAAGTTTGGAAGGCATTATTATTTTGTTGGTAGGGACAAAATATAACATTTAATAATTTATTTAATGAAATAAACATGAGTAAGGTCAGTTAAAAGTCCAGAATGTGTTTTCAACCCTGACTTTGAACCAGTTTGGTACAGTGATCCATAATGTGTATATAAAAACTTTTCCTAACCATTTTGTTTGCTTCTTTACAATACACTAGGCTCCTCCAATTGCTACCTGTTGTCAGACTATCTCCTGTCTTATTTGCAATTTCAGGTTTACCGGCACTCATTCACAGCTTCCTACATCATCTATAATATTCACACCAGGTAATGGATGCAGCTCAACATTAATAACAGATATGCTGGCTTTACACAGTGAAACTTTTATGCAAGTTTAGTTGCTTGAAACACACATGAATCTAAGTTGCACTTGAGTTGCATAATGTAAAAAGTCCTGTAACTCATTTGACACTCAAGCATTTCAGTTATGTGGAACAAGTTTCATAAAACAGTCAAACAAAACAGTGATAGTGACATACTTTCAAACCATTGATTTCACAAGATCAAAGAACAAAGAAAATAAAACAGAATTTGTTTACTGGATGATTAAAAATAGAGATTCCCCTGATTGACTTTATGCACAGCTGGTAGTTTTTCATTTTGTCAGTTTTCTGAGCTGTGACAACAAACGTGAGTTTCTCAGAGCTAATATTTCTCTTACCAGCTGCAATAACTAGCCAGCTAATGCTAACAGCTGTTTAAACAGGTGCTTGTGCCAATGTTTATTCTTCTTTAGCCTACTGTTAATGTGATTTATGTAAGTAGATTCATTTTCTCTTCTTTGATGTCCCCTAGTTTTACACAGAGATCCAAAAGATGAAAATTATTAAATTTTTTACATTATTATAATACTATTACAGTAGGGGAGACTGAGACGTGGTCTACAATGAACTTATTGTGTTTCTAGGGCAGGATGAGTTTACTTTGGACATCACAAGCTATAATGGTAATGGTCATTTGGTGCTTAAAGGAGAATTCCACTGATTTTTCAAAATCTCTCCAGAATTTTACAGAAATGTAAACAAAGCCATTCAGAGTGGTTTGATGTGAAATGGTTAATTGTAGAGAGACTTACCAGCTCTGAGTTCTTTACAGTGGTAGTGATTGGAACTGGGGTCGCCATGTCAGCACAAATATAGCCATTTTGCTTACTGTCCTAAATGACCAGTGAACCTACATGTGTCTTCATATTTTATATGTAAGGCTGACAATGGTAAAATAGTAGAAAATCTAAGAAAAGATGTATTTTTTGGGGACTATTTTGCCCAACACTGGGTGTATCCAGCTGCCATGAACAGACAAAAGTATCAAAAGTATCAAAAACAAAAGTATCATGAAACTACGCATCAGGTATCAGGCAGCAAAATCGTAACCATTTCATGCAGTAACAATCAGTGAGGGGCTTTTAGGGGCATTAAATGCTTCAGACGTCTAGTTCCTATCACCACCACTGTGAACAACTGTGACCTTGTAAGTTTCTCTAGAACAGAACCTTTTACATAAAACCACTCTAAATAATGTTTATTATATGTGATTTAATTATGCAGAACTTTTTGTTATACTTTTTGAAAATTTCCCCTTAAAATACTCACAAGAGATAAAAAAAGATCTAGACAGATAAACATCATATATATATATATATGTATTGAAAAAAGAAGAACAGCAGTAACAGCTGGAAAAAATAAACAAAGATGCTAAAAACGCTGCTAATGATTCAGTTACACCTCACAGATTACTTTAAAGTGAGAAACATACAGTGTACCAAATAATACAAGCTGCCAATTTGGTTAACTAGTGGAGTAATTGAATATGATGCAAGCAACTTTGTTTAATAATTTCTTCATGTAATTGTCAAGGTATGCAGAAATTATGTTGCAGGCAACTCAGAACATGCAACAAGTTGAATGACAGCTTCACCATGTAAAACAAGCCTAAGAACAGTAATAGGTGATAGTGCCTTTCTGTGCAAGTTTATGTACACATCTGTATGTGGGGTGTGTGGTTCTGTGTGTATGTGTGTGTATGTTACAGGGAGGTGTGGGAGTTGGACCCTCCAGAGGTGCTTAACTCCAGGTTGCAGCACGCTGCGTGGGGGGTGCAGGGTCAGCAGTTGGTAAGGGATAAAAAGCTATTTGAAATTTCCTCTGTTTAATGTACTGATATCTACTGCTCATTACTATGTATATTTAAAGCAGTCTCTCTTAATTTCCCTGAACATTCAGAAGGTGTCTGATTCAATAAGAGACAGTCTAATTTAATTGTCGTTCAGTCTGCAGATGAAAGCCATTAGACATGCTTTTTCCTTCCAGCTCATGCTCATTAGTTTCTCCAGAGATTCTCTGGCATCTGTATTGTCTGGAATTTGAAGGTTTTTTTGACCCTTCAAGTTACTTTTTTAATATGAGGCAATTTGTGCACCCTGCAGGAAGTCAGCGCTGCAGAGAGTCAGATGCTATCAGAGATTTGCTACAATATGTTAGAATGACCTTCAGGTGGAAAAACAGCTTGTATTCAATACTTCTGCCTTGCAGTGGTTTCTTAGCTTCGGTCCTGGAGACCCACTGGTCTGCACAGTTTTGTGCTTTCACTGCAGGGTTTGCTAATCAGCTGATGAATCAGATCAGGTGTATTACAGCATGGAAGGTTCAGTGTCATGCGGAGCAGTGGGTCCACAGAATAGGAGACGAACCTCCCTGCTGTTCAGAGCAGCATGTGCAATGATACTCTGCTAAGCTTCTATCATGTTCACTGATCCTTTCTGAACTCTCCTCTGTGTGCAGGTGTACATCTTTGAGAATAATATATATTACCAGTCAGACGTGAGGAGTAACTCCCTCAGACTAACTTCTTCGGGGAAGGAAGGCGTTGTGTACAACGGCATCGCTGACTGGCTTTACGAAGGTACGAACGCCCTTATTGTTCTCACATGCCAGTGGTTTTCAACCTTTTTGAAGCATGACACACCCCCTTCCCACCAAGTGTATGTGATGTCACACCAAGTGTGTTCCAGGCCAGAGGTTTGTAGAATTATCACACATGAAGATTATATATTATAAATTAACAAAACAACAATTATTTCTGATTAGAGTGTTTAATCATATGGCTGTGTTTGCAAACCTCTGACAGCTCTTGCACAACTCGGCCATTCTGAGCAAAATGATATGTTTACATTTTTAGCATAATTAGTGAATAACTAACTGTTAGATTAACTGCTTGACTAAGCATTGTCGCACACTACTGTCAGCTGACTTTTTTGCCAACCAGACTTTTTAGCTCGTAATGACAATGTGATAAATACCTTATAGGTCTATGGACTGTTTTAGATGCGAAGCACGCTGTGGTCTGGCTTATAACTCACTTACTCATTCGTGTTTTGCTGGATGGAGAGTCTCCACATGGGAGCATTCAGGATTTTAGTGCTTCATAAGAGTGGTACTTTTCATCAATGACACTGTGAGTCCTTGTTCAAACAACCCATCTGCAACCTGCTAAAGTTATCTTACCATTTCTGGAGGGATGACAATCCACAGGCTGAGGACCACAGTCTTGTACTACAGGCTTGTTAGAATCTTACCATTTTTTCTAGTGATGCACTGAAATTAAAATTTATGGCTGAAACCAAGAAAAAGTTTTTTCTTAGCTTTTCTTAAAATGTAAAAAATGTTTATTTTTTATTTTTCAAAGTTTTATTTATGCTTTTTAATAAATGTACTAAACATAAAAGTTACAAGGTATTAGAGAAAATACACTTTTATTTTTGATAAAATCTGCTTTCAGTAAGACAAATCTGAGCTGATAATAAATAAAACAAATCTGAGCTGATAATAAATAAAAACAGTTTACATAAAATAAACTTACAAAAATGATTACAGTATGTAGACTACAGTATGTGCAATGAACGTCCTTAACAAGGAGAGAACGGTTGATCCAACACAGTGAATTCCATCATTTTTATTTACACTTTGCACTTTTGTACTGTAGTTTGTGATGTTTTTGTCATTTCAAAAAATCAGTGTTGTTGTGCTCGTGGTCACTTTCACTTTTTCTTTTCTGCTTCTGTTATTTTGCTGTGTTCTGTGTATCAAGTGAGAGGATGCGTTTTCCAGTGGTATCAAATCTGTAATGGAGAAGTTCTTGTACCCCCTCCTGATACTTGGGACAAACAGTGATTACAAATCGCTTTTCTAATGTCCATCATATAAACTGTGATAAAAGTTCACATGACCAACATTTTTTCCACTGTTTTAACTGCAGCCGCTACGTCTGCACTGACGAGCACGGCAGAGTGAAGGAACAAACAGTAGTTTTTAATAACTATTTCTTGTTTTCATTATGATTCAAATGATTTGTATAGTGTTAGATTTTGAGACGTCTTGGTAGGCCTTTGTAATCTTCAGGCCTTTTTTCTTTTTTGGCCAGTTTCAGAGGGTGAAATTTCGGTGCATGCCTAATTTTTCTATTAACTTACATTAATCATTTGCTTTTTTGTGATGCAGTTTGTGTGGAAACAGTGTAGTGAAAGAAATAAAGAACATCTCTTACTGTTGAAAGAGGCAATTGCGTCTCTCATCCGGCTGCAATAAATCTGAATCAAATATTAAATTAGACAGATTGCCAGTTTATCCCAAACACTAATTAAAAATGAATTAGATCAGTATGAGAGATCTGAAGCTGTGCATTGTGTGTGTGTGTGTGGGTGTGTGTGAGTTAGTGCATGCAGATTTGTGAGTGAAAGTTTACGCATTGATGTTCGGTAATTAAATTGTGGAGACGAGTCTGTTCAGAGAGATAATACTGATCTAGCTCTAGCTGTCTAATATATACATGCATATACACACACACACACACACACACACACACAGCTCACATCAGAAGTGTTAATGAAGGGCCTAATCAAAATGCCGTTCACCTCATCATCACCCAATTATACAGGCATCAGTCATTTACAAGCAATCGCCATCATACCTGTGTGTGTATGTGTGTGTGTGTCTGTGTAGAGGAAATTCTGCATACGCATGTGGCTCACTGGTGGTCTCCTGATGGTGAACGTTTGGCGTTCCTGGTGCTGAATGACAGTCTGGTGCCCAACATGGTGCTGCCCACCTTTACAGGAGACACATACCCCAAAGGCAAACAATATCCATACCCTAAGGTACATCACACACACACACACACACACTCTGAAACATGCACACACCTCACTCTACACACACCTACAGTCTATAAGCCTGATGGTAATACTGTGGTCAAACATATTTTCCTATAAAGTAATTTACACGCATAAAAGAAATACACTGAATTTACTTGATTCAAATATGTACATTATTTCCACTGCAAATTGTTATATATTACATCAACATAGCTTTGTCTTAGTTCACTTACTTCTGGCAATAAATTTTATTCATGTGGAAGTTATGTACACATACATTACTGTGCAAAGGTAAGAGACCAGCTTTCTTTTGTTTAATTTTCTTGCAAAACAGCCATTAAGTGTAAGTCATTCATGTTTAGTGGCTATTTTGGAGGAGACGGTATATATAAGATAATAGACCTATAGAATAGCAGGGAAAGCCAAAGCTAAATAAGAGAAAATAAGTGAAAAAATAGGCCTTTGTGAATTTGAAGTTCACAAATTCAAGATATAGAGAAAATGGGACTCCTTACAACCGTGCAAGACCTTGTAGACCACCAACACTGTCACCATCAGATAAACAGTACTTTAAGTTTTCATTTTCTAGAGTGAATCAAGCTCCACTCTTGCTTCAGATCTGAAAAAAATCCATAGGTGTTTCTGTCCATTCTTCCACTGTGAGAAGACAGCTCAACACTATGAATGTAAAAGTACGTGCAGCTGTCAAGAAGCCCTTACTGAAAAAAGGAAATAGACAAGAAAAAAAAAGAAAAGAAAATGTTCAAATCAAACAAAGAAGCTGCTGGTGTTCTCAGAACAATAGATTGTCTACCCCACAGCCCAGACCTCAACATTAATTAATGTTTGGGCTTACAAATTATTTTTATTTGGGAATATTCCAGCATGGTGATGGACTGGCGACCTGTCCAAGGTGTATCCTGCCTTCTGCCCAATGACTGCTGGAATAGGCTCCAGCACTCCCCTGCAACCCAGAAGGATAAGCGGTTTAGAAAATGAGTGTGTGTGCGTGTGTGTGTGTGTGTGTGAATATTCCAGCAATGGAATAAGTATAAATATATACTTTTCTTTGATGCTGAAAAATTAATACCTTACACAAGGGTTATTTAGACAGGACTTTGAATACATGAACAATGATCTCTGACTTTTGCGTGGTACTGTATATTACATCAACATCGTTTTTACTTTTGACTATATTTTACTTGCTTTTGGCTATATATTTTATTCATATGGAAATTATTTACACACAGTATATGTCCAAAAGTATTTATTTGCTGATACAGGCATTCAGTTGCACACAGACAGCTTGTAGCTTATAATTTCCATACAAAAGCATTGCCAATAGAATGGGATACTCCGGAGCAGCCCCTCATGTGTGTGTGGTCACGATGCCCAATGCCAAGCCTTGGCTAGAGGGGTGTAAAGCTCCCCAGCACAGATCACTTTGGGATGAGTTAAAGTGGCATTTTTGATTCAGACTTAATCATCCAACATCAGTACCTGACCTCAGTAATGCTCTTGTCGCTGAATACAATTAGATTCTCACAGCAATGTTCCAACCTCTAATGTAAAGCCTAGAAAAGTAGAGGCTGTTACTGCAGCAAATGGGGGACAAACTCCCTGTTAATATAATTGGTTTAGGAAGTAATATTGAATGAGCAAGCGTTTATAAACACTTTCTTTTTTTAGTATATGCACTATATATACTATACACACATTTACACAGGGTGTATGGATAGTCTACATGCTGCGCCTGCCAGTAAAGACAAACACTGCCTTTATTCTAAGATTACATTACAGAATTACATTTAGCACAGATATTTGTATCCTCCTTGTGCACATGCCTACCAATATCCTTAACTTAACATCAGTTGCCAAGAGAAAGCATCTTCACTCTTTTAGTTTTTAGGTAAAAATGCATTTCTTGCATTTCTTTCCTCTTAGAAATGATCCAGATGTCCTAGAAGGTCAGAATCATTGTATTTTCATGCTGTTGTGGACACACACACACACACACACACACACACACACACACACACACACACACAAACACACTCCAAACGTCTGATGAACAACTCCCTACAGATTAACAGTGCTTCCAGTGTAATCATCCATAATTGTCGGGTTTAGCCGGGCTGTCCTGTGTAATTGTGTGTATTGTTGTGTTTGAAGGCAGGTCAGCCCAACCCCATGGTCAAACTGTTTGTGGTAAATCTTTACGGACCAACGCACACTCTGGAACTCACACCCCCTGATGGCCTCAAACTCAGGTGTGTGTACTTAAACAGGCAGATTGTTAAATAACCTGCTAATGTGAGAGAGAGCAAATGTGAATCTCAGTGTATCATCTAGACTGCCTATCCTCTCTCTCTCTCTGTGTTCCTCACTGTCTCTGTTTCTCCCTCATTTCAGTTCCATTCAATTCAGTCCAGCGCTATTAGAGAGCCACATAATTATACACTAGCATGTATTATGGAGGACAGGAAAATTACAGCAAAGAATAGAGGAGAATAATTAGAACCTGCAAGTGTTAGATATTGGTGGAATAGGAAAAAATGTGCATGCTTAATAAACAGCTGTGAAAATAACTGGATAAAGAGAAATGGAAAAAAAAATCAATCAAGACTTAACACAGTGTGGAGTGTGTGTGCTTGGATATTGCTTAACACTTACTGTCTGTCCTGAAGACAGTGAAAGCTTACTTGATCAGTTACTTACTTAATAGTAGGAATGCTGTTAAATTGCCTCTTAAACTATGATCCTCTTAGTGGGTGATTTACAAATTCAATGTCTTTGTTTGTTTGCTTCTCTCTGTCGCTGTCTAGTTTGGCTGTGGTGTGATAACTCGTGTCTACATGCATGTGTGTTTGTTTTTAGGGAACATTATGTGGTGATGGTGAAGTGGATAAGTAAGACTAAGACTGCCGTCAGGTGGTTGAATCGAGCTCAGAACATTTCTATCCTGACTGTGTGTGACTCCACCACTGGAGCCTGCATCAAGGTTTACACACAGAAAAACACACACACACACACACGCACACACACACACACACATTTATATATATGTATGGGATGGGTGATATGACAAAGTTATAATATTACATTACTTGAACAAATTTTTAGAAGATATTTAGTTTTCTGAGGTGTGATAAGTTGGAACAGAAAAAGATTTGGCACATTACAGTGTGCTACAGTAAAATCATTTAAATATGACAACTACTGCTGTCTTGCGGGTGGTCAGTACTGTCAGTATGTACAATGATATGATAAAATACCATCAGAGTGCCCACCTTATAGGTGATGATATGTTTGTGTGTGTTTTTAGAGACATGAGGAGACATCAGAGCTCTGGCTCTCCAAGCAGGTGAGATCCACCACCCACCACCCCCTCTCTCTGTTTTAACCCAGCAGCTCAAGTGTTACTTTTGGAGAGCTCTTCAGTTAAAGAGCATTTAGAAGCTCTAGTACATCAGCACCTTGAGGTTATGTGTTAGCTCTGTGTGTTTTTGTCTCTCTGCAGAACCAGGAGCCTTTCTTTTCGCAAGATGGCAGTCGCTTTTTCCTGGCCGTTCCAGTAAAGCAGGGTGGCCGTGGAGATTTTCACCACATTGCAATGTTCACCACCCAGGTAAACATCTCAGTACTGTTGCATGATGTATCGAAAGTTTAATTCTTTTCAATACAATAGTGTGGTTGACAGTTCGACACTCCAACCTCCAATACCTTCAGTTCAATATATTGAAATTGCAATGAATCATCATCGTTTTGAATTAAACTGTGCAAGCTAATTTGACTGTATCTAGAAAAAGTCAGAGTTCTGTTCTCTAACATGTGACATAATGCCCCTAGAAACAATCCACACGAACAGCCTATTTTTCTATTTGTTTTAGACAGTGTTAGCCAACAGAAGGTTCTTCATTTTTAATCTACTCCTTAAAGCCCTTTGAGTGAGGCCTTGTTGAAATGATTTAGTTTACGATGTGAAGAGTTTTGCACTGAGAGCGAAATTGAATTTAAAAACTGAGATACGGACTATTTTTCTGTGTCCAGTCCAGTAGACCTTGAATTATTATTGGATTAATTTTTTTGTAATGGTATTGTTTTGGTATCAGTATCAAAGACACAGTACACACACTCGTGCAATGCAGGTGTGTTGCTGTGATCACAGCTGAAGATTTATGTTGCCATATAGGTGTCTGTGCTGTGTTCATATATATAACATAGTACCGCTGATATTGCTCTTTATTCTGCACTGTGAAGGTATTTACTCTGAAGGTTTGCTGTAGTGGTGTAGTGTGCAGGATAATTAGTATGGTTGCTGTAAGTACAGTAGTGAAAGATTTATTTCCTTACAAGACTGCTCCAATTATATAAATGATCCAGTGATGACTGTGCTTCTTCACCTACCAGACATCAGTCATAGAAATGAAATGAGGAAGATAGGCTACTCACCAATTATATTACAACCCCGTTTCCAAAGAGGTTGGGATACTGTGCAAAATGTAAATAAAAATAAAATTCACTGATGTGCAAATGATTTAAACCCTATATTTCATTGAAAGTAGTACAAAAACAACAAATCAAATGCTGAAACTGAGAAATTTTATTGTTTTTAGGAAAATATAAGCCCATTTTGAATTTGATGCCAACAACACGTTCCAAAAAAGCTGGGGCAGGGGTATGTTTACCACTGTGTTTCATCACCTCTTCTTTTAACAACACTCTGTAAGCATTTGGGAACTGACTGCTGTAGTTTTGAAAGTGGTATGTTTTTCCATTCTTGTTTGATATAGGATTTCAGCTGCTCAACAGTTCAGGGTCTCCTTTGTTGTATTTTTCATTTTATAATGTGCCAAATGTTTTCAGTGGTAACAGGTCTGGACTGCAGGCAGGTCAGTTTAGCACCCGGACACTTTTAATATGGAGCCTCACTGTTGTAATACATGCAGAATGTGGTTTGACGTTGTCTTGCTGAAATATGCAAGGCCTTCCCTAAAAAAGAAGTCACCTGGATGGCAGCATATGTTGCCAAAACATGTATATATCGTTCAGCATTAATGGTGCCTTCACATATGTGCCAGTCACCCATGCCATGTGCACTAATGCACCCCATACCATCATGAATACTAGCTTTTGAAATGTGCACTGATAACAAACTGATTGGTCTTTAGCTCGGAGGACACAGCGTCCATAATTTCCAAAAAGAAATTCAAATATTGATTCGTCAGACCACAGGACACTTGTCCACTTCCCCTCAGTCCATTTTGAATGAGCTCAGGCCCAGAGAAGGTGGCAGCATTTCTGGATCCTGTTTATATGTGGTTTCTTCTGTGTGTTTTAGAGTTTTATTAGCATTTGTGGATGGAGTAACGAACTGTTTTCATAGACAGTGTTTTTTGGAAGTTTTTCTGAGCCCATGCAGTGATTTCCACTACAGAATCATGTCCGTTTTTAATGCTGTGCTGTCTGAAGGCCCAAAGATCACGGATAGCGAATACTGGTTTTTGGCCTTGTCCCTTGCATACAGAGATTTATCTCGATTCCCTGAATCTTTAATGATATTATATACCATAGATGATTAAAAGCAGAAGTTCTTTGCTATTTTACATTGAGAAACGTTATTCTTGAATTGTTGCACTATTTGCTCGTGTAGTCTTTCACAGAGTGGTGAACCCCTCCTCACCTTTACTTCTGAAAGACTATTTTTTTAAGCATTACACAACTTTACCAGCCTTTTATTGCCCTCGTCCCAACTTTTTTGGAACATTGCTGGCATCAAATTCAAAATGGGCAAATATTTTTCAAAAAACAATAAAATTTCTCAGTTTCAACATTTGATATGTTGTCTTTAAAGAATTTTCAATGAAATGTAGGTTTTTAAGTGATTTGCACATCCTTGCGTTTGGTTTTTATTTACATTTTTCAGAGCATCCTAACATTTTTGGAAATGGGGTTGTAGTTCTATACAGCAAAGTCTATTTCTCAAGTGAGTGCCCCAGTTATATTGACAGGCCTCAGAATTTTTGGACTAGTTTAATGACTCAGTTTTAATTAATTGGTCTCATAAAATTCTTTTAACCACAAATGTGTAACCTTAATACATTAATTAATATAAATTGAATTATTAATAGTGTGATTATTCTAACAAATCATCACAATCTCTAAATTGGAAAGCAGTTTTAATGACTTGACTGAGTTAAGACTTTTTTTTTTAAGAAAAGTATTTTTTTTAAAGCATTGGCAGCTTCCCATATTAAGGCTTGTGATGTTAGATTTCTTTGGTATGATAATAAGGTTGTGGCTTTGAAGCAGGTGGGAACAGTAGACTGTGCTAAGGTGAGGTTGAAAGTGTCTGAGAAAGTGGCAGTCCTGTTGGCACATGCTTCCCGGACCTGTTCTGGGATGCCATTGGGTCTGGCGGCTTTGCATGTGTGTTTCTCGAAAGAGCTCTCCTGACCTCATCTGTGACAGTGTGAGTACCTTTTCTTCTGCAGATGGACTGCAGGCTTAACTGGTCAACTGAGCTTGGTTGATCTCACAGCAGGCATAGAATGAGTTGAGCTCAGGGAGGGAGGCACCTGTGGCTGATAAACTGTTGACTTTGCTCTTCTAGTGAGTCACTGCCTGGATTCCCTGCCACATGCACTGAGGCACCGATGCATTCTTGGCAGCCGTGATGCCAGCTTTCAGATTGTGTCTGGCAGCTCTCAGATCTTCCCTGTTCCCAGATCTGACGGCTGCATCACATGCTTTAAGTAAAGTGCGGACTTTACTGTTTGTCCAGCGTTTTTGGTTTGGAAGAATGTGAATATTCTTTGTTTGGACTACATCATCAACACACTCCCTGATGAATCCATTCGCATCTACCTGAGAGCCTGAGGTGGCTGATGTTCTGAACATCTCCCAGTCTGTGTGTTCAAAGCAATCTTGCAGTATTGATTCTGCTCCCTCTTGTCACACACGCACTGTGCGTACTGCACCTTCAACCCATTTCAGGAGCAGCCGGTATGTTGGCTTCATGAACAATAAGATACGATGGCTTTGTTCGAAGTAGGGGAGCGGAGTGGCACTGTAAGTGTCCTGTATGTTTGTGTAAACGTGATCTAGTATGTTTCTCTCTGGTTGGACAGAGCACATGCTGGATGAATCTGGGGATCTGTCTGAAGTCATCTGCGATCATGACCGCTGCCTCTGGGTGGAGAGACTGTTGTTTGCTGACCACAGTGGCTAACGTTAATAGCGCTAGCTTAGCATCACATTAAGGCAGAATGTATACAGCCACAACAGTGACCACTTTGAATTGCCTCAGCAGATAATTTGATCTGATTGATAGATTTGATTGTTCTTTAGTCTGTCTGTGTCTGTGACTGCATTTGATTGGTCTTTATCCTCTGTATATTAATAAGGAAGGCTATGGATGCATTTGGCCTTCTAGTATTGCACCAAAATAAAAATAATTCACCAAAAACGTAAAACGGCCCAGCATTTGGGACATTCTGAGCTGAAAACTGAAACTCATAAACCAAATATTGGATTTTGTTCTTTTTATTTTATTTTAAAATGAAACATAATTGAAAATAATGTAATAAAAAAGACAAAAGTCAGTCCTTGCAGTATGACTTTGTTATGAAGGAGTTACGACAAAGTTAAGACCAAGAACCAAGTTATAGCTTATTGCCTACAATGAGCTGCTAACCCTGTTTGAATGCATCAGCAATGTGCAATGTAGGAGAGCAAAGGAAAGAGTGTTTTTTTAAACTACTTCTCTGAGTTCTCAGTGCTGTTGAAATGATTTGTGAAAGCATCTGCACTAATTTGAAACATTGTTGTAGGCCAGTTTAATCTTTATGAAATATAAATAGCAAATAGTGCTGAATGTTGGCTATGAATGATGCTCAGGTCTTTGCAGATATGAAAAAATGTTGAGATGTTCTGTGTTTAGTTACTGAAAGATAGCATGCAAAGATGAAAAGCATCTTATTTACTGTGAGTCTGGGCTTATTCTGTTATATAAACAAATAAAAGATAACATTTATTACACCCAGTAACAATAAACATGTTTTATGCACATTTATAGTATTTTGTATGCACTATCACTCTACAGCCTTACCATACTCTTTAACAAAGCTTTGCCCAGAGGTCACAGTTCATCATCCATCCAGATAAGAAATCAGAAATCCTTCTGACCAATGAGAGTTTTGTTGAGTTTTAAAGAGCGACTTGACCTCACTTTTCCATTCCATTTTTACTTCAGCAGCCGATAGCTGTGAGCTTGATTAACATCACTGATGCAAACTTCAGTTATTTTATCTCACCACTCACACTTCAGACAGCTTTTTGTTAGCTAAACAGAGAGAAATTTAGTGAGAGTTAATGTCAGTTGAAGTTAAATGATGATGATATTACTTCAAGGTTTTAAGGTTTTGGGATTTTCTTATGTTTGGAATCTGAGAGGTGCATTACAGTGAATGTGAAATCACATCTGACCATTTTATCATGAATTCATCATGTCACTTAAAAGACAAAATTCTTGTTTTTCTGTAATCTTCCATCAAAATGTATGCTTTTGTGTGTCACAGCGCTGAAGGAAAGTGTGTTACGATTTTCATTTCACATCAACTTTGAGTTTTTAGTGATGTGGCCACCAACAGGGCATGCATGGGAGCCTACAGTATGTTAGTGTAAGGGCATAATAGATTAATTACAGGAGTTAAAACACTTTTGTCGGCATTGTCATTTTTTTACTATGATGGTGATCTCTCCTCAGGTTAGGGCGGATCAAAACGAGGTGCGTCACCTGACGTCAGGTAACTGGGAAGTGACAGAGATTGTGGCCTATGATGAAAACTCCCAGACCATGTGAGTGAGATATTATGATCAATCACACCTACCTTGGGACAAAATTGGTAGAAAATGGATAATAATAAGAAATTCCTAGAAAAGAATGCCTAGAAAATAGAAATAGAAAAAGAGGTTGCATTATATGTATTGGTGCTTGTCTTGTACCTATTTCAAACTACAGTATTTTTTAAATTCTACCAGCTGCAGTGATTACCAGTGAAGAAGAGTTTTCAAAGCTGAGATATAAGTACTGCTGATCATAGAGGGGCTGCTATAACCCACCAGAGTCAATGCTTAACTTGTACTTTACCAGGAGCTAGAACAATACTGTGGCTGTCCTGTAAATATTAACATGTTTTCACCCCACAGATATTTCTTAAGTACTGAAGGGTCACCAAGAAGACGACAGTTGTTTAGGTGAGTGATTTTCGAACAGCCATGTGCAGATTCCTCTTTGTCTTTGGTCAAATTGAACCTTTAAAGCTGTATTAGTCTTTGCTCAATGAGCACCCTCAACGATGCTTAGTATGTACTTCATGAAATGTTCATGAATACATTAAAATACACATTCTTTATTTTGAGGAAACAAATACGATTCTAAGCACATGACATTCCACAGATTTTCGCTTTTCATTCATGATTGTTTCCTTGATACTTTTTAAAAGCCTTACAGTGCAAATTATGATCATGTATATACATGATGTGAAACTGTTCATGAAATAAATATTCACTATATTCAATATTCAGTGCCATTTGACAAGTTGATTATTTTAAACACTGAAAAATTTGACTTTCTCTTGAGTAGGCTTGCTGGTTCTTTAGTATCATAGGCTGTTCATTAGATTTTAGATATTAGATTTTAATTTATTTGTGAGCATTTCATGAAGTATCAGTGAGGGAGTTTTCAGTTCATTACATGTTCATTACTAATTCAGAAGTGTATTTAATGAATGTTTCAAAATGATTGTGTAATTGTAATGGAGTGTTACTGCACTGTTAATGAATATGCCATGCATGCTTCATGTGCGTGTTGTTCCTGTAAAGGGTATGCATTACAGTAACTGTTCAGCAAATTCAAATAAGAATAAAATGCCTCCTCCTGTACTTACAAACACACATGTGGTATCAAAAAATAGCACATTAGAATCTGAAACAAGCAGACATGATTTCCCTGCTTGTTTCAAAGAGCAATGAGTGAGAAATCCACAGTGATTTACAGATTATAACACACCTGTGTTGATTCATTTGGCTTGACCTGCATTAATCTATAATCTTACTACAAATTAAATTTAAAACTTGGTGAAATAAAATTATATCTTATTCAAATATGACGGTGGGTGGTTTCTGTGTTCAGTGTGTCCACGGTTGGTTTGTTCCCACGACGATGTCTGACCTGTGACCTGAATAAAGCTCACTGCACTTTCTTCAGTGCCGACTTCAGCCCAACACATCAGCACGTCATACTGCACTGTAAAGGTATATCTCTCTGTCTCTTTCTCTCTCTCTCTCTCTCTCACAGACACGCACACACACACACACAACTGAGTGCTGTTTGACTGAGTTGCCCTTTTCAAACTGTATTTGTTTATGAATAAGAAAAGAGTTACTTTGTCACTGACTCTTTGTCTGCAGCTACATGGACAGAAATCACCATAGTGACAGGGTTTTTAAACATTCTGAACAATGCAATAAGACACACACACACACACACCCCCCTCTACACTCTTCTGCATTACTGTGCTAGAACACTCAACATTGTTGTTTGATGGCTGTTTATCTCTTCTGTTTAGGACCGGGAGCCCCCACAGTGATCCTCCACACACTTAACACAGCCAGTGAGTGTTGACCTCTTTAGTATTAATATATTTCACAACTCATGCAGAGAAGTCTGATACATAATTAGGGCTGGCAATGATAAGCAATTTTGAAAAAGAATATAAATTAAGACAGAACTATTGATAAATATCAATGTTTTAATCATTTAAAAGCATTGGTATTTTACATAGTCAGTATACAATTAGGTCCAGAAATATTTGGACGTCAACAAATTAATTGTTATTTTAGCTGTCTACTACAGCATGCTGGAGATAAAATAAAAAAATGAATATGAGTCCAAAGTGCAGACTTTCTGCTTTAATTTGAGGGTATTTACATCCAAATCATTTTCACACATAGCACACCCTCAAAGTAATTTGACAGTTGGCTGTTTATCTGTTCTGATGCCTGGTGTGTATTATTCCCTCATTATTTCACTTACAAGTGAGCAGATAAAGGTTGATTTCGAGTGTGGCATTTGCATTGGGGATCTATTGCTGTTAGCACTCAATATGAAGTCCAAAGAGCTGTCACTGCCAATGAAGCAAGCCATAATTACATTGAAAAAGCTAAACAAACCCATCTGTGAGATAGCAAAACGTATAATAGGTGTGGCCCAATCGACTATTTTGTACATTCTTTAAAAAACGACTGCAACAGTGAGCTCAAAAACATCAAAAAGACCTAAAAGACCATAGAAAACAACTGTGCTGGATTCTTTCCCTGGTAAAGAAAAATAATTTCATACCAGTTGACCAGATCAAGCATCACCCTCCAGTAGGCATATCTGTGTCAAAGTCAACAATCAAGAGTAAATACAAAGGATTTACCACTAAATATTAGAGTGAAGGAACTGCTTGTGATCCAAATCCTACCACCTAATCTGTCAAACATGATGTTGGTAGTGTCATGGGGTGGGCATGTGTGGCTGCCAGTGGAACTGCTTCTCTTGTATTTATTGATGGTGTAACTGGTGACAAAAGAAAAAGTGAAACGTTGTACAGTCGTCAAGTCAAGCACCTGACTTCCAAAGTAGCATGCATTTTGCTTACTGAAACCAAAACCGAAGAACAAGCAGGAATTGAAGACAGCTACAGTTAAGGCCTGGCAGAGCATCACCAGGGAAGTAATGCAGCATCATGTGATGTCCATGGATTCCAGACAGTCATTGGTATTTGCTACCAAGTATTAACAATGAAATCAATTTATGATTGTTAGTTTGTCCATATACTTTTGAGCCCCTAAAAATGAGGGGCCAGTGTTTGAAAATGGGTGTAATTCCTACACCGTTTCCGCAATTTGGATGTAAATACTCTAAAATGAAATGAAATGAAATGATATTGAAGTCACTTTGAGCTCACATTCATTATTTAATTTCAACTCCGATATACTGTGGTAGACAGCTAAAATAATAATGATTTTGTTGATGTCCAAATATTTATTGGCCTGGCTGTATCTAGGACAGTTTTCATTTGCAACAAAGCTTATGGGTAAGGAGCTCTAGGCTAAAGCAGTCACTGAGTTTGAGATACTTCAGCTTCAGCTCAAGTGGAAATCTCTGTCGTGTTGAGATATTGACAGAATGGAATGTCCTCAGTGTCTGTGTCTGAGTCTCACTGTCTGCAAGAAAAAGGATACCATCAACTTTGCTGCTACTCAGTGAATCACTTTTAATCAGTACATTCCGATTTTTCAGAGAGTTCGAGAAAAAAGGGCACTGGACTTGACATGAAAGCTTCCGTGTGTGAAAAATCACACCTGTTTTAGCAACTGTAAAAATCAATGATGTGTGAAAAGACCTAATGAAAGCTAGACATTTAGCTAAAATGAGGAAAGAAAAACACAAATTCTGATGGCATTTTTTGTCCTGTTTATTTTTCCAGTGTGATAGTCACTTATGCTCACAGGGTGAATCACTGACGCAGGATTGCCAGCTCTCACGGTTTTGGTGTGAATCTCACGATTTTGGGTCTTTCTCATGCTCTTATGCTGCACTCAGAACAAACTTGCAGTCTGACCATTTTATGATTTTTTGCATGGTGACATCTGATTGGTTCATATTGTAGTCTATTGAGAGGACATCGGCTGTATCTTCCGCAGCTTTTTTATGTCACTAGCACAGCGTCTCTCTCTCTCTCTCTTTCTAAAAGATCACTCTGATACCCATGAGTGTAACACGTGTTGAATTCCTTAGCTACTAATTTGTATGGCTTTAAATTCCTGTTTGTATTGATTTCATATCCTCATCATCTGCTCCCAACTCTATTAGGGTAGTTACTCAAAAAGGCAATCCATTAAAAATTATGGATTACTTCTCTGAAAATATAGTGGGATTACTTTGCTTAATACTTCCTGTGGAAAAAGTAATCTCAGTACTTATTGCTTTATCTCTACCAACTGGAAAGTACAAGGGGAAATTCAAGGGAAAATAAAACACAATCGCAGTAAACACCATTTAACTGTCCCTGAACAAGACAGACAGGTATACTTGATTAAAATTATTCTAAAATTATTATTAGGCTTATGGTGTTTGCAACCTGGAAACTAGCCTGTAGAAACAGTTCAAAAACAGCTGTCTCAAAATATGTTTTGATCAAACTCAGCTTTCAGCCCACCTATACTAAGTATTTAGGCATTTCTTATAGGCTTTGTTTGGGTATCTTAAGCTACGCTGGAGCAACAGTGTGAACCAGCTGTTGTCCATGAGGCCTGGTTGAATAACTATGGGTCTACCTGCTAAGGACTAGGAGCTGTGGTTCAAATCAGTGTTTTAAGCAGTGTAACAGTGAATATGCACTTGTGCATGCAAAATTAAAAATCTCACTCCAGTCTCACTCCAGTCACCTGAAAATCTCACTCCAGTCTCACTCCAGCCACCTGAAAGTCTCACTTCACCAAAGTTGGCAACCCTGCTGATGTAAGTGTAAATAAAGTAAACCCAATTAAATCGTGGAACACACACACACACACACACATCATCTAAACCGCTTATCCTTCTGGGTCGCAGGGGGTGCTGGAGCCTATCCCAGCTGTCATTGGACGGAAAGCAGGTCACCAGTCCATTGCAGGGCAGGCGTGTAATGCACTCATGCATACAAAAATAGAAAAAAAACCCCACTAAATTCTGCTCATTGATATTTACTGCTAAGTCAATAACATGTGCCTTCCCTACACATAATCATTGCTTACTTTGTCATATAAAACAGCTACCCCTGTATAACAGGGAACTGCAGGATGCATTTTGTGTGTTATCCCTGCAAAGTCCAGAAGGTAATACACATTATGAATGGTTTATTTGAAATTTGTTTTTGAGTCCAGTGTCCTTTTTTCTGATGCTTTCAAAGCATCTACCTGACCATTTGCTAATGTAATCAGTGATTTGGAATCTGGTGTATGCCAGTACTCTCAGTGCTGCTCCTTTAGTAGAGCTGACCTGGTTTTGAATTGGGTTTTAGTCAGTGTTTTTATGATTAAAAGAGGCAGCGGAGCCCCTATAAACCTCACCTTACTCATTTTGATGTGGCTCCCCTTGGAGGCAGAATCTCTGCAGACGCAGAGTATGGTTGGCAGGCAGCAGCTAAATGACTGTGGTCATAGCATAAAATAGATCACATCATAACACCTCAGTAAGTGAATCACATTGAGTGGCCATGCTGCAGGGAGAGGAGAACAGGGTTGTTTTGGGGAAGAAAACACTTGTGAAACACACTCAGCTCTTTGATGACTCCACCTGTTTACTTGTTTAGATGTCTCACTTTGTGTCTCTGTACCTAGATTATTTCATTCTGGAGAATAACTCACTTCTCAAAGCTGCTCTGAGGTACAAGAGGATCCAGCTTACTGAATATAAATCCCTGCAGACTGACCGCTTTGGTAAATAATCATTTTACATATTGTTACTGTAGGAACAAAACCTTTATTCTTAACTTTTAATGTGAGTTGATGTAATAAGGTTTTATTCCAAGTGCAGGAGAGCATGACTCAACATAACACAGTGTGTTTTTGATGTTTCTGTAAACTTACAAAAATAGTTCTGAATGTATATGAAGGGTTATGGACAAGTGAAAATAAATGTGTTCTCAACACACTTCTGAATGTTTTAATGCACAATTAGTGTTTATTTACTGAAAGTAACTGATTGGTGAAAAATGAAAAATTAAATGCAACCTGTGCAAAAGTTTTATATTTTATCTTTTATTTTTTCTAATATTTTTTCCCATAACGTACTTTCACTGTTTACATATATATTTGTGTGTGTGTGTGTATATATATATATATATATATGTATATACGTACTGAGCACTTTATTAGGAACACTATACTAATACTGGGTAGGGCCTCCCTTTGCCCTTTGGTCTCAAAACAGCCACAATTCTTCTTGATATAGATTCTATAACATTAGATTGATCCTTTGAGATTTTGGTCCATGTTGTCATGATTGCATCACACAAATCTTGAAGATTTTTCAGGTGTTCTTTCATGCTATGAATCTCCCATTGTACCACAGAGGGTCCAGGGTCCATAAATTCATGCTGGCACCAAATTCTGACTATCTGTGACCAGAGATTCATCAGACCAGACTATGTTTTTCCAGTCTTCAACTGTCCACCTTTGATGAGCATGTGCCCACTGCAGCCTCAGCTTTCTGCTCTTGGCAGACAGAAGTAAAACCTGACATAGTCTTCCGCTGTTGTAGCCCATCCGCCTTAACATTCAATATGCTGTGCATTCTGAGATGTTTTCTGCTCACGACAATTGTACAGAGTGGTTTTCTGAGTTACTGTAGCCTATTTGTCCATTCGAAACAGTCTGTCCATTCTCTGTTGACCTTTCTCATCAAGAAGGCATTTCCATCTGCAGAACTGCCGCTCACTGGATGTTTTTTCTTTATTGCACCATTCTGAGTAAACTTTCCTCTGTGTGGAAATCCCAGGAGATCAGTAGTTATAGAAATACTCAAACCATCCTGTCTGCCATTGACAGTCGTGCCAGCCAGTTGTGTGGCAGCAGTGCATACAAACATACATCATCTAAACCGCTTATCCTTCTGGGTCGCGGTGGGGTGCTGGAGCCTATCCCAGCTGTCATTGGGCGGAAGGCAGGATACACCCTGGACAGGTCGCCAGTCCATCGCAGGGCGGCAGCAGTGCAGTGCATAAAATTATGCAGATACAGGTGTACAGCTTCAGGTAATGTTCACATCAACCATCACATTTTCCCCATTCTGATTGTTGATGTTATCTGAAGCCACTGACGAGTATCTGCATGATTTTCTGCACTGCACTGCTGCCACACAATTGGCTGATTAGATAATTGCATGAATGACTAGGTGTACAGGTGTTCCTGATAAAGTGCTCAGTGTATATATGTGAGCTGCATGGTCTTGATATGACTCTTTACTTACTCATGAACAGATATCCTCAAATTGTATATCTATCTGACACTGTTAAATAATCCATATGATGCTTTTGTTATGAAATGTAAATGTTGACAGAGTTATTTCATGAAACGTTGTAGGTCTTCTAAGGCTATTGTGAACTTAATGATGCTCAGAACATTTTGTTCAATCTGTAGACCTCCCTCTGAAGATTGCTCTCCCGCCTGACTTCTCCGACTCACGCCAATATGGACTGCTGCTTATGATGTAAGCACTGTGCTGCTGTAAGAGCAAGTTTGATCAGAAGCTATCAGCGTCCTCTCTGCTTAGCCGTCTTTAACTACACATGCAATTGCCAGACCTCTGCCCTCCTCAAATTATATGTGGAGACAATGAACACTGGAAGGGTTAATGAACACCATTGTACTTTCAGAACAGCAGAGGACAGGAGAGTAGAAAGAAGGAGAGAAGACAAGAGCAGAGAAGAGCAGAGGAGGGCACATGAGGCTTGAGGGGAAGAGGAGAGTATAGTTGAGGGGAGGGAAAGGAACAACTGACGCATCTCATAATGATCATCGCTCTGCTGCGTGTTTACATTAAGAGCTATTGTGATGAGTGAGGAATGCAGCTGCAGGTAATTTTCCATTTAGAGATGAACATGCTCTTGCAGGAAAGGATCTGCTGTATACATTAGTATTAGTACACCGAGAAAGAGGATATTTATCCACTTATCCTGATTGTGTTAAACACTGTAATCACAGTGCTGAAAGATGGTAAACTCTTAATGTGCTCCTCAAAGTCTGCTGTGGATTTTAATTTGTTTGCCTTCCTGAAAACAGCACAAAGCTTCCCTTAGGTGCTAATTAACTTGGCAAAATTGCTTTTATCTTTACCAGTATGTTTTTTATGCTTTTGACACCTGCTGTGACTTTAGGGTTCACACCTTAAGACAAAATTGCTGACATCAAACGTCTAAGCTGCCATCTGTTCACAAAAAGCATTTAAGCTGCATTCAGCTCTCTGCCGTTTGGAATCAGCCTGAAAAACAAGAAGCCCTGTGGTTTTTTCAGTAGCGTCTCGCCCAGGCCGTGCCATCTGGGGCAGCTATGATGAGAAGAGAGTCCAGTGCTTTGCCAAAAATATAGCATCTCCTAGACTTGTGTTTTAAAAGTGTCTCAGGTTAATTAAGACATCATTGATCAATTGCCGGCTGCTCAGTCAGGTCACTGTGGACTAAAGGGGATGCTGCAAATGTCAGCAGGTAGTTTTAGTTCAGCCCCTGATTTTAACCCATCCATCTTAAAATGCGAGTAGCCCATTCTGCATAATGAAGCAGGTTAGAATTGATTTCTGTTTTTTGCAGCTAAAGCTTGTCAATGCATAGTACAGCCTGACCGATGTAAACATTTTGTGGCTGAAACTGATACTGATTGTAAGAAACTAAAAATTAATATTGAGCGATATAATTGTGCATTTATATCATCACTGCCCAACAAGAATCAAATATCTCCATTGTAAAGAGATTTCATTCCAAGCAATTTGGAGCATTTCGGTTGGTCCATTCATCATGAAATTGTCACAAAACATAAAGGGCAGCTGTTGTGCTTAAATGATACAGAAAAAAATATATAGATGCATATACTCAATTGTCTCACATCCTAAATTCAAATTCAAATAAGCAGCAAAACCTGGAACCTATAGCAAAAATTCAGTCTTAAATAATATAAATATCGCAGCATAATTCTTTGTGGTTTTGGTTTCTAACTCATTAAGGTAATTACCTCTTATTTTTCTTATTTTGTATTATTTCTTTGTTCTTGGTAGGTTTAGATACATGTAATGTTTTCATTATTGAAACTAGTATATAATTTAAATTAGTAGATAATTGATGGTGTTTTTGTTTTCAGATTTTCCAGTTCAGCCTCTGTTGCTGTCATATAGTTAAACAGGATATTCCTCAGAGGTAGTGATGCTCATTCCGAATCATTTGAAATGGTTGAGCAAAATAAATCAACTAATTCAGTTTCAACACTCGTTTCTGCACTTGGCTTGACGTTGGGAATGTCTGTATGTTCAGTGTGAACTGACAGCTCAGTTGAGAGCAAAATACGTTCAGTTTTACTCCTGAACATTACATACATGTCTGTGCATAGAATAGAGCCCCTCTTTATGATTGTTGTATGAATGTATATAAATGAAAAGAAGATATAAATAAAATATCTAAGATAGAAGTAAAAATAGTTTATTCTGCTAAGCTTAGTATATTTATTCACATCATTCAACTGCTGCTGAAACTCTGTCCTAAAGACCAAAAAAAGTCTTTCTCTCTCTCTCTGAAATACTTCCCCAATTAGTATTGACAAAGAAACATAAAACTTTTTTTAAAGCTGGCAGTAAATTTTCTCGCTTTGTCAAGTTATACACAAGAATAACACGTGTTATCATGATTATAATTATAGAATTGCAGAAGCAGAAGAGGCAGAAACAATACTGATTGGTGCAAACTGAATATAATACGTGATAACAATGTGCTTTGAATTGTTATGAAACCTCTGGTTCAGACACAAGCATTCCAAAAAAATCTAAACTTTCAAGATTGTCTCACTCGTTCCTACCATCACCATCCAGAGGCACACCAGTCTAAAGTTTTTCACTTTTGTCGAGAAGTTCAATTCCCTCGAACAAGAAATATCAGATATATTTGCCAATACTGATAAAACCACCAGTCACCAATATTATTCGGATGGGCTCTATTAGGCTATTAGAAATAGTTTTGTGCCTATGTGGTACACCATTTAGTTAACACTAATGATAGCAATTCTAGCTGTTATTATTTGAGTGATAGCAGATACTCACAACGATATGCAGATGCTCATAACTTTGTCATCAGAATTTATATTAAGTTCAGGCCTGTTTCAGCCACTGACTGTGAAATGATGTACAAGCCTTGTTAATTAGTTTTTGCATGGTTAATAATGCAGAAGTTATTTATAAATGGATAAAAAGTATCCAAAATACAGAACGTTTTTCTTGATACTTGAGACATCCTTGCTTCTTGTTCTTTGTGTTGTAGAGACAGTGGCCCTGGTGGTCAGCAGGTGGATGACCGATACTCAGTAGATTGGGACTCTGTGCTGGTCAGCTCTGATAACATCATTGTGGCTCGTCTGGACGGCAGGGGCAGTGGATTCCAGGGTCAAAAGGTTCTACAGGAGGTGCACAAACGTCTGGGAGTGGTGGAGGTCCAGGACCAACTCGCTGCTTTGGAGTAAGAGAGACTTTGCTGTTCATTGTTCATTTTTATTTATCTCATTATTGACAGATTTTCAGATTGTATTCTGTTCTTTAAAGCCAAAAGAGTTAATCATGTGTCATTTGTTAATCATCTGTCAACTGCTAACATGTGACAAACTTTGATTTCAGATACCTGCTGAAATTTCCATACATAGATCAGACCAGGATAGGAGTGTTTGGCCGGGTAAGACCATATTTTTCTTGCTGTTAAATGAATGTGGTGGTGCTCCTCTTTTTAGTAGATGGATGCAAGCAAGAAAGCCTGGGTTAGGTGCAATTTGATAAATTATAAATACATTATTATAAAAGAATGCCTGCAGTAACCAAATGCATAAAAGTGTAAATCTGAGCCATCATGACATAAATGGTTGCAACTTTTATAAAGAGCGTATCAGTTTGATAGACTTGTACTAGCTAAGTTTTTTCTGCCAGACTGCATTTACCTGACTTTTCACTAGTCTGATTTTTGCTTATCTTAAAGGGATACTCAGCCCACCTCCTATGCTAACTGGCTAATCAGGGAGCCATTTGTTTTTTTTAGTTTATTAGCCCCAACATCATTGCCTACTGTCAGTTGTCAGGTTTTCTTCATCACTGTAGGGGGGATTTGCAATGGTATGATGTATTTGCATAATTCAAGCTGGGAACTGTAGTGAAAACTGTCACACTTATGAGGCTGAGGGATGCAATTCTGCACTACAGAATATCACAGAACATGAAAATGACATTAAATGTTAGTTTTAAGAAAGAATAACTCTTTAGTTGGTAGCTAGCTAACTTGCTTTTGCAGTAGACTCCTAGGGAAGCTGACAGCTTCTCTGGGTTAACTCACCCTGCTGGATGCTGCTTTTTCACTATCCTGCGAGTTGTGTAATAATGCGTCAACCATTTAATTTTTTGGTTACTCTCCAACTACAAACACGAAACACCCCTTCTAACAGTGTGTAAAGATAAACGCTAGCTAGCTGTAGCCAGTTTTCTCAGTTCTGGGATGTGATTATGTGTCAGTCCCATTTTGATCTTGAAAATGTGCTACATGATTCCATGGAAACAGACCATTTAGCTTACACACATTAGTGGAAAGAGAGTAGGAGATGCTAACTGCTGCCTGTGCTTTTAAATAGCAAATTGATGGAAGGTGGCCAGATATTGCTCTTCAGATATTTATCCAATATAAAATGTTTCTGTTTTATGAATAATATTACTATATTCTACAGGCAGCATAGTTGATGTTGGATGTGTGTCATCCATGAAACCCACTGAAGCTCTGCTACAGACTAAACTGTTATCTAAGTGTGACCTGGATTAGAATTCCCAGTATCATGGACTATCAAGTACACATTCTGTTTATTTTGTAATAATGTTGTTTTGTCTGTGTGTGTTTGTGTGTGCGTTGTCTGCAGGGTTATGGAGGATATGTAACACTCCTGCTGGTGAAATCTACTGAAAGTTTGTTTAAATGTGCTGTGGCCATGTCACCAGTGACTGACTGGACTTTACATGGTAAAGCATGCTCACCTAACCCCCAACCCTAGCCTTAAACCAAAGCCTGATGTTCAAACTAATCTCCAACTCTGACCAAAACATAAACCTGACTCCAAGCCCTGAGCCATGACACATTTCTTATCTTGTTACTTACCCCAACAGCTTGTACTTGACTGTACTTGCAAGAAAACAGGAACAGCCTGCACTACTATTCCGTTAACCCTCCTGTTAAGTTTTCTCTCTTTCTCACTGTCTCTCTTTCATTCATTCTCTCTCTCTCTCTCTCTCTCTCTCTCTCTCTCTCTCTCTCTCTCTCTCTCTCTCTCTCTCTCTCTCTCTCTCTCTCTCTCTCTCTCTCTCTAGCCTCAGCATTCTCAGAGCGCTACCTGGGAACTCCTTTACAGGATGATAGCAGATATCAGGTGGGTTTGTAGCTCTCTGGTCTCAAGCCAGCAGCTTTCCTTTTCTTATTTGTCACAGGCGAAAAATATGCCTGTGCCAAGGCTGAGTGGTGAAGTAATAAAGTGTTTTTGACACAGTACTGTGCCCTAAAGTACTATAAATCTGATATAAAGTTTTTAAGCTGTTCTAAAATACCTGTCTATTCTCCAGTCCTCCAGTGTGCTACAGAATGTCAAGGGCTTTAAAGACCAGACTCTGATGCTCGTACATGGAACTGCAGATGGTGAGAGAGAGAAAGAGAGAGGCAAAAAAAGAATGAATGAAAGAGTGATAGAGAGAAAAACTGAGTTGGAAAGATCTAAATAAACCAGTGCAATTTTGACTCATTTTTTCTCTCCCTCGTGTTTTTTTTCTTCAAGCAAACATTCACTTCCAGCACTCAGCCGAGCTCATCAAGAGCCTGGTGAAGGTGGGAGCCAACTACACAATGCAGGTACTGCAAGTACACCAGTTGTAAACCAAATCATACAACACCACCCTGAAGTTATAAGTATTAAAAATGAGCAAAAGAGCATGTAGAAGCTGACAGAGTATCACAGCTAATACTGCAACACAGCAATCGGTTACTAAAACTACACCATACCTAAATAATGCAGGCCTAAAAGTAAAAATGCCCTATTAACACTGGCTATAAAGATTGCTCCCAAATATCATGGTTTTGGTTAGCTCAATCTACAGCACTGTTTGACTTGGATTAGTTTGACCAAGGGAGGTAATGTAATTAAAGTGATCACTGATTAGATCTGTGATTTTAATACAGTACGAATCTGCTATCACTGCAGGTTTTAGAAGCTGACTATAATAATTACAGAGTGAATAGTCCTCTATAATTCTCCTGACCCAGAGCTCTCTCTTGTAATAAATTAGTGTTATTCTGCCCCAGGTTGTGGATTCAGATCAGATTATCTGAAATAGCCATGGCACTTAATGGCCTCATTATCATGTGTCCAAAGGAAGGTCCACACCTTTGGTGTTGCTTCTACACTCCAAAAATATATAGTTTGCATTATGGGTCAAGGAAGGGGATTATGGGTTGTTGTGATTGACCCGTCTCTCCCACATCACTCAGAGTGATGCTAACCAACATGGGTGTCTGTTAGCTGACATAACAGAATTGGAAGCTAGCATTCTCCTCCAAACACGCTGAGCTGTCCAGTGATGTTGCATAAAACGGCATTTAGACGCAGTAAATGACTTCACGTGTCTCTGAGTTGATTTACATTATAAACATATCTTTACTTAAAATATTGACAGCAAATTGTAATTTTTAGTGTTATGCATTGTAGAGTCTTTGGAGATCTGCACAGAAATGGGGATAGCAGTGACACCATGGATTTCTGTGGTAATCCTCGGGAATGTGGACAAAATCATTTATTCCCATGGTGACAATGAGAATAGAGATAATCTTTGCAGTAATTTATTTGGAACAGTAATTAAGTGTCTATTAACACTGCAGGAATGATAATGAAAGGACCAGTTTTTGTGTTTTTACAGCAGCTATACGTCAGCATATCCTGAGTACACATATTTTTTAAAAGGAGAGCTCCAGATGTGGTCAGATGTGCCTGAGGGACACTCAATAGACTGGATGCTGTTTTCTACCCATTTTAAAATCCAAAGACAGTGGTTGGATTTGTCTGTGTTGTAAACCTGACCATCAATACACAAAAAGCAGCATTGCTAAGGAGTTGCTCTATTATCTTATAGCCATTGCTGTGGAATCCCAGGTGGTTGCTAAGGTGTTGTTAGGTTGTTGCTGTGGTAGCCAGGGGGTTGTTAAAGTGTTGCTTGGCCATTCCTATGCTATCCCGCTTAGTTGCTAAGGTATTGCTAGGCCATTGCTGTGGAACCCCAGGCAGTCACATAGGTGTTGGTAGGCCGTTGCTTTGGTATCCCAGGGGATCGCTAACATCTTGCAAGGCCATTGCTATGGTATACCAGGTGGTTGCTAAGGTGTAGTTAGGCCACTGCTATGGGATTCTAGGTGGTTGTGTATATATACTGTATATGTGCTAGGATGTATGTGAGTTTGTATGTAATGTCTATAAGGGACAGTGTGAGAGATGTCCTTTGTGACATCATTGGTGAATTTTTCTCAATGTTACATCAAAACCATACATTCACTCAGGCCCAAAGGCAAAGGACACTATTCCTGTATAGGACCTGTGATCCTGCAAACTGTCATGCTTCTAACTTTAAAACTGCGACCAGTGAAAACAGTCCAAACACATAGAAAAATAAAATGAAGAACAGAAAGTTGACTTTGCCAAGCAAACTTAAATATAGCCCTGTTTGATGTGACCTCACGAAAATACAGTAACAAAAGTTGCTAATGGACACAGCAGTCCACCGTATTGTTATTGTTACTGAGTATGGATGATGTACATTCAGATTCGTGACATTTCAATCTGGGTTATCCTTCCAGAGCACAACTAATTCAGCTCAAACAGTGTTTGTTTACTAATGCTTACTGATGTTTATTCAGTGTTTGCCATTTGTGGTGTAGATTTACCCGGATGAAGGTCACTTCCTGTCAGAGCGGAGTAGGCAACATCTCTCAGCATCTCTCAGCAGCTACTTCAGATCCTGCCTGCAAGAGGAGACCCTGCCACTCAGTGACGAGGAAGAGGAGGAGGAAGAGTAGAGAGGAGAGTGTACCTACAGCAGGACCTTTACATACACACACCCACACACACACACACTTGCACAGACACACCTCTGCCCACACACACTCCCCGGCACTCTTTTGGATCTCACTTTACAGAGGCCTGCGACTCTGAACTGACAGAGAGAAAGATTTTAGACAAAAAGCGAGAGTGTGTAGTGTGTGTGAGTGTGTGTTGTGCAAGTGTGTGTGCTGTGTGTATGTGAGTGCGTGCGTGTTTGAGTGAATGGTTAGGTATGTGTATATATGCATGTGGGTACATGTTTTGGTGTTTAGACTATTTGGATGTATAGGCTGTGTCTGAGAAGCGAGCGAGTGTGTGTATGCTTTTGAGTGTTTGTGTGTACCTGCGACCATGAACAGTGGACGTTTGTCACTGGAAAATGGATTCGGTTGCCAGGACGACGTCAGAATCCTTCACATATCAGAATATCACTGAGATCTTAAGCTGGACGTTTCTTGATCGAGCCAGTCTCAGCACAGACTTTTATGATTGATCCTTGGTTCGGCCAATCAAAGCGCAGACTGTCCTGTCCGCATGGAGCTGCTCCAGTCACACAGCTGCATGTTTTTTTTTTCTTCTGTTCCCCCCGTCTTTGTGCGGTAGATGTCAGGACAAGAGAGCTGCACTTCGTCTGTTACTGCACAAGAAAATGCTCACTGTCTCCATGGCAACCGTTCTCACCAAGAGGAAGTGCAGTTCCCATCAATTAGCCCTAAACCACACGGAGGATGAAGCTGCTGGGTATACTCTCTTTCACACACACACACACACACACACACACACACACACACACACACACACACACACACACACATACATACATCTGTATACAACCTAGACAGGCCCATGTTGGATTCTCAGACTCAGAGGCCCTGTCCACACATAAGACTACGTTAAGCAATTGTTTTCAGTAACCATACATGCACTGTTATTGTGTTAACATATCCAAACTGCAGCTCAGTTTTGTCTCAGTGAAAAGCTTGAAAGGGGAATTCCACTGATTTTTTTTTTAATTTCTGCACAATTCAGTCATGTGAAACAGTGCATTGCAGAGAAACTTACCAACTCAGATTTCTTTACAATAGTGGTGAAAGGTACCAGGTGTCACACCCCTGGTTCTAGTGAAAATAAGTACACATTTGAGTTTAACATATTGAACAAAAATAAAACATAAAATGTGTAAAAAAAGTTATGGCACATGTTGTATGTTTATTTCTAATATATTACATTCAGCAAATAAACAGAAGTTGTGCTCTAAAACTTGCAGAAAATATTCATATTTAAGATCATTTACTGTAACTTCTGTAACTTCTGTTTACTCTATTTTCACTTCACATGTAAGTTGACCAGGGGTGTTAAAATTTTGGCACACAACTATGTAGTTATTTTCTTTAGTATCCAGAAATCCTAGTAAATCCTAGTAAACTAGTAAAATCCTAGTAAATCCTAGTAAACTGGTAAAAAAAAGTAATCCTTTTTTATAGGCAGTTTTTATAGGTAATGATGATGGTAAAATAGTGCTAAATCTATTTCGGGACTATTTTCTCTTTCAGTGCCCTGCAGTGTGCCTCTCGTTCATGAACAGATTTTAAAAATATGTTTTAGGCCAAAATCTTTTCTCAAAACTTTGGTGAAATAATGACTCAGACGTCATGCAGTGTATTCGTAACCATGTAACGACTTTGTGAGGTAGCTGTTAGAGGCATTAACAGGCGCCTACTGCTTCATTACCACTGTGAACCAGTAGTGGTGGCAGTGAAGCACTTGGTAAGTTTCTCTAGAACAGTGTATGTCATAACAAACCACTATAAACGATTTGTTTGCACCTTAATGATTTAATTATGTAGAAATTTTTAAAAATCTATGGAACTTCCCCTTAATTACCCAGTCCTGTCCCAGGAATTAGGAAGTATAATGCAAAAAAAAAAAATAGGCTTCCAGCAAAGCCTGGAAATTTAAAGAAAAGTTTTCCAGTCATGTCAAAAGTTTCGTGAGCTGTTATGTACATAAGTCATGGAAATTTTCCTGGAAAAAACTGGAAAATTATTTCCTAATGAAGTGGGAACGCTGTTGTGGCACATGACAGCATCTTAAATGTAGGCAATATATCTCACATGTCTCATTTTGAGATTGTTGTAAGAATATTGTAAAATTATTCAATAAAAGTGACAATTTTTAAAACATAATTGTAGACCATACAGTCTTGTAATGAGAAATATTGACTACATTTATGATGCTTTCACTTGCTAAGATCTCATTTTTCTTTGCAGTTTACAGTCAAGAGATGGACTGACTGGGTAGTTTTCAGTAGTTTACCTGTTGCTTAACCCAGTCACTGTTTCTTTTGTCTCCAGGCTACTTTAACTCATTTCAGTGTAATAGTACAGAAGTGTACACAGCATGCACAGAAGAGTTTTCTCTAAGTTTATATTTGTAATAGTTACAAGTAAATTACAAAAGTGACACCAGTGAATTCAAAGATTTGAATGCTAATGGTGCATAGCTGCAAACTGGAGGAATGTTTCTGTAACTGGTTATTGAACATGATTCATGTTGAATGTGGAGACTGAGTTAGAATGTTCTGTACCATGTTTAAATCCTTAGTAAGGTCATAAAATCATGAAACCATGGTGTGGACAGGCTCTGTACGCGTGCATGTGTGTATGTATATAGTAGACTCCAGAGATGGCGGTGTGATTTGTACAGAAGACTGTATTCAGTACATACATACAGTATATTTTTGAGATGTATCAGATCTCATAGTAGTTTAGCCAGCAGGATGAATCCAGTCACCAGTACATATCTGTTTGTGTTGATTTGTTTATCTCTGGGGGGGAGGGGTGGCTTTTGTAATGCTGATTATTGTTTAGTTTTGCTGTTTCTTTGTTTTATTGTCTTTTGGCGGAGGCAGGGGTGCTGACAGCGGGAGGGCGGTTGAAGGTTTGGACTGACCCTTTTTGTCCTCTAGTCATGACTATAAATAAATAACTCGTCAAACTGACCCAGCCTCAGTAGTGCTATACGCTCAACTCTGCCTGTCCATTAGAATAAGCAAAATTAGGAAAAATAATTGTGGTCTGTCTCTTTACATTTGACTGTGGGCTATTGGAAATGAATGGAGATGTGGGTCATGAGTCATGTGGTAGTAGAATTTTACCATATAATTATTCTTTGAACTTTATTCATCAATTGGATTTGAACGACAGTGATATAAATTGCTATAGTAAAAGATAATGATGGCATCATGCTGTTAATTTCTGTTAAACAACATATTATGATACAATATCCCACATGAGCTATTTTTGTGTGCTTTTTTGTGGAATAATATTACATTTTTTATTTAAAAATTTAAATTTTTATCTGTTTGTGTAACACAACATCACAATTGCCATATCCTTACATAAATATGTATATTTTAATGGTTTATAACATTTTCATTTTATGCATTTGCCTGTTATGTGAAACACAACATCGATCGTAGCAAAAGTCATGGTTTTTCATTGCGTAATTATTATGCAGTGAAATTGTAATACTGTCACAGTTCTTCTAGAAGTGCACTTGTAGCATAAAGCAAAATGCACAAAGGGAACAGCCCATATTTATGATTTATTTGACTGATGTACATATGTAAGCATTGCAAGAATAAAATGAAAAATGGAACAATTGCAGTGACAGTTATAATAAATTCATACATACATAAAGCATATTTGATAGTGAGATAAACTTTTCCTGGACATCTGTGTAAGATATTTAACAACTTATACACATATTTTTAAAGATCAAGATGCCACATTACAACCTTCATGGTCAGTATTCTTGGTGCCTGTTATGAATTCTAGCTCTGTAATACAGACAGAGATGGTTGCAAAAACAGTCCTGATGGCCAGTATGAGCTTATTTATATAATAAATGCTAAACAAATTTTTCATTTAAAACAGTTATCATTAGGATTATTTGAGGTAAAACATCAGAGTTTAAGGGTTCTTCTCGTTTTGGACTGTTTCAAGCAGCTTTCTGTTGATCCACATAGCTTATACATTAACTTTCTAAATAAATTAATTAATAAATGAATAAATAAACATAAAACTTAAATTCATATTGTATAACATCTTCTATGCTACAGTTAGGTTTTTGTTTAATTGCTATGTCAGTTATTTCACATTCAGCTTAGGTGTGATGTATTGAGTGTTGAATGTAACACTGAAGTGTATGCATTTACATACACAGAGGAATAGAAAAACATTTACTGCTTAAAAGAAGGTCATAGCAAATGCTCTGAAGGCCATAAATGTAATAAAAGGTAAATGTATTCACTTCTGATGAAGTAAATACTTGCTACATCAGAGATCTCTAATAGTATGAGGTCATACAGCATACAGATTTTTTTACAGTGTTCAACAAGTTCAGAAAGTAAACTGTAAAAAATCAACAGTGTACAAATCTTTCCTTTAATTTGACACAGTAGTGCGATCTTTAGCTGAGGCCTGACTGGTGTAGAGATACTTTCTCCACAATCTCTAAGCTTTATCATTTGGAATGCTTATGTAGGAGAAAAAATAAAGGGATATAACAGCCTATTTCCTTTTCCTTCTCCTTTACCTTTCTTCTGTCTGGGGCTTCATATCGTTAAGAAGACTTCATTTATACATCTTTCTTCCTCATGTATGTGTTTGTTTGTTTACCTGCCCGTGATATGGCTCGGTTAGGTTTCATTTTCACGTGACAGCAGGAAGCTGGAGGCCCCTGTTGTCGAAGTGGAGAGATAATAGCTTGAGTCTTAATATGTTGTAGCTGTGGCTGTCTGCTCTCATAAATACATTCTCCACTGACTCAGCCTGACCTTTTTTAAAACTCACTTATTCCTCCAACACAGTTCTTGCAGTGTGTGGCCCGGTGTGGCTTTGCCACTTCTGCGTCTGATAAGTCCACCTCGAAAGAGCTCTTTTCATGCCTCTGGCGGGCAGAAGAGGGTCAGGTGAGATTAGAATAAAGTCGTCTGTGTGAAGGATGCTTGTTGTTGCAGCCATCTTGTTCTTAAATCCTGCCCACTCTGTGGGCCAGTGGAGATCACCCATAGCAACAGAGGCTAGTCGTCCTCCCTGGTTTCCATGACAACAGGGGTGTTGTCATAGAAGCACTCCCTGAAAAAGGTGATGAGTGAGCTCAGCATGTAGTGTCTGCTGCTGATGTCATGGCCCTCGTCCGGGAAAATCTACAGCCGTGGAGAAGTGGAGGGTCAAGGTTACAGAATGTATTTACACATCAGTAAACTGTAGAATGTCTATTATGGTTGATATCGACAGTGGCAATATGTGTCACTGTCCCCATTGAGCCTGCTTTGTGCCATACTGACCTGAAGTGTGTAGTTTATGTTATACACAGATAGCTGCTTCACCAGCTCGGCTGAGTGCTGGAAATGAACAGTGGCTGAGAGAGAGAAAGAGAGAATGAATACCCTCCTGGTGTAACAACGTCCCTGTGTCCAGAGAAAAAAAGCTACCAAATGACTGTGAAATTATTTCTTATTCTTCTGCTTATATTCTTAATCTTTCTTTTGGATCGGTGTTATTTGAAGTTGAAACTAGCTGTCCTGTATTTTGACCGATGACGGCATTATGAAGTAAAGAGTAATGGGACTATAAGAGCCTGTATCATCAGAGGGGTATAATACACCAACAGTCATTCCTCAAAATCACTTATTTCACCGTTTCCAGCAGTGTACCTTCAAAAATAGGCCCTCTTTGTTCTTACAGTGTGTGTGTGTGATGTTGGCCAGCTAAGAGCCTGCTGTAAATGCAGTCTGTGGGTAATCTGGAAAGCCTAAGAGCTGCCTGTGTAATGTGAGCTCTGCAGAGAGACAGAAGAAAACTGAGTCTCGCTCACCGTCAGCCGTGCCGTGCAGGATCAGAAACTTCACCTGCTCAGAGGCGGTGATGTTTGGCAGCAGACTGGAGATCTAACACACAGCAAAGTCACGCATTGCTACTTAACCAACATCCAGAGGAGTACACTGTCAATCTGAATGCCTTAATTAATATGAACCAAAGTGTTTGATCATTTAGTGCTAATTAGAAATTATACAAAGAAATTATTATAAAAGCCTAAAAAATTAAGGCCACATTTTTGGTCTGAAACCTCCTTCCTACAAAGACAAACACTTTCAAAAAGGACTTTTCAAAAGCACAAACATCCTTTCTTAAATAGCCTTTTCTTTGACTTCATTCTTGCCTTTGGTATTTTTATTTTACCTGTGATTGTTTAACTACTTGTATTATTTATTATTTATAATCTTATTCCCCCTTTTTATTGTTTGTATTCCTTATACATGCAATTTTATTCTTATTTTATGGTGTTCTTATTTGACTGTTAAGCACTGCAAGCTATATTTATTGTATGAAAGGTGCTATATGCCTTATTATATGGTTATATAATATTATACGGAATATTATTAGAATTAACCTTTATACACAGGCAAACTCAATCATACTCTTGCGAAGTAGCTTTGAATGTTTAATATATATTAGACAAAGTGATTATTATATAAAGAGTCATGTTACCTGGTATTTGTGCTCGTTCTTGGCTGGGTATCCAAAATAGCGCTCTGTAAATGCTGAACCTTCAGAGATAAATAAAACAGCATGAGCAGCTGTTCACTCACACTCAATAATGGGTTGAGGAAAGAGCTGAGACCAAGAGCAGACAAGCTTTGAATGAGGTCAGTTTACAGTCATGTCCAGCATTTTGTACTGGGATGGTAATAACATAATAGCAATTTGCTAGTACATTACATGTTCAAGTATCCAGACACTCCTTTTAGTGAATTTAGCTACTTTAAGCTGCACCCATTGCTGACAAGGGTGTTCAATTGCGCACACACAGAGCTTGTATTATCTTGCCAACAGAATGGGATGTTCTGGAGCAGATGCACATGAGCCTAAGGTTACCATGCCCAATGCCAAGTAAGGCTAGAGGGGTGTGGAGCAGCGGAACTGTGTTCTGTAGTGATGAAGCATTATCCAGTACCTTTGGGATGAGCTGGAGCGGTGTTTATGATCCAGAACTAATCATAATCCTACATCAGTAACTGACTATCACAAATGCTCTTGTGGCTGAATGCAGTTAAATCCTCACAGCAGTGTTTGAACATCTAGTGTAAAGCCTTTCCAGAAGAGTAGAGGCTGTACAAAATCCCTAATAGTACCTTAGATTTTAGAAGAAATGCTGGGTGAGCTGATTTCTACAAACTTTTAGACATACAGTGTAGATACAGCATGTTTCAAGGACGTCTTCAACCAGTACAGTTTTCACATGGTTCACTAATACCTAAAATGACTCATCTAAAGTAACACAGTACTTGTAGAAGTACTTTTGGAGATAAAGTTTTTACCTGCCCTAGTTTCAACTTTGATTTCTAGCCTGAATGAGTAGAATGTGAAGGCCATCCATGGATAGCCAGGCTCTTTCTTTGCACATTTAAGTTCAGCTGTTTCAGACCCAGTAGAGAGAGATTAAATGCAATTCGGGTTCATAGTGGATAATGGAGCTCTGGTGCAGTCTTTGCGGCATAGAAAGTGTACATGTCTATATAATTTTGTAAGGCAAAGCAATCGATTAAAAATATGGGCTGTGGGTTTATCATTATTTTATCTACTGAAAGCAGCTTGCATATAGATGTTTTGAACAAGTATCACAGCATTGTATGTCTCTTTTATTAATGTCAGGTTATTCACAGGTCTTTTCACTCCATAATTTAGTGCTGGCTGAGGAGGCTGACAAATGTCTTATTGAGATTCAAAGGAATGAATTTGGCTTTTAGAGTCTTTATCAAAAGGTACTTGAAATTGTATAGTGTGTGAGGCGTGTTCATGTTATTGTACTTAGAGCCATAATGAGTTCAGTTGTACCATAGAGTTTCCAGTCAGACACAGGTGCCATGGCAACACCACAGCGGAACAGAGACCCATGAGACAGGAGGAGAATAGAGCTCAGGAAACCACCGTATGCCTGAAAAACCACACGCATTCACATTAAGACGCATACAACACAGTTACCCCCATGGCAATGCAACACTGAAACACTGCTACATACAGCTTGATTCTGTGTACAGTGTAGATGCAGTGTGGAAATTATTTTGGAACTAAATGAAAAAAAAATCCGTATGTGTTTTTTTGTGTAGATAAAACAACACCTAAGGAAAACCACAAGGAAACTTAGATTCTGTTGAAATATTAATCATATATACATAAAAGAAAATGAACAAAAAGGGGTATTGAGTTGAGGTACAGCTGCATGAGTTTCTGCAAACTAGCCTGCTTTGATAACTGCATAAAACAGTTTTACAACCTCAACAGGCCTGAAATGATCTCTTTAACAAAGTGCCCTGTTTTTGCACATTTCTGACAATTACTTCAAATCTTAAAAATAAAAACAAAAACATTTCTTTTTCCTTTCCATGACATAAAAGTGTAAGCTAGCAACCAACAATAGCTTAAACCACTACACCAAAGTAATGTTTTGTAGCATTTGTGAATTTAAAGGCTTGTTTCTATGATAGAAAAAGGCATAAAGAGAATCTGCTTTTTTGCATTTTATATTTCATTGAGGAGGAACTGTCATTTATTTATCCTGTAAATTGTGATTGTAATTGACAGACTGAAATCCTTACCTTGCCCAAAACCCCAATTCTGCTCCCATCAATATATGGCTGTTTCCGCAGATACCTGAAAATATAGACAAAAACAGCATTATCCTTCAGGCCAAACTGGTTTGATGTACACTGTGTTAGGGTTGAATGTTAGATGTTTAGTTAGATGTTTATAAAACAACATGGAATGAACTATCACTGCATTACTGAGTGCATATGTAAATGTAACTGAAACTGCAGTGTGGCCTGAAATTGAAATATAAACCATAAAAGAGTTTCATATATCATCACCTTTACCTCAATGCAGATTAGCACTTACAATATAAGTCTATGAACAGTTCACTAAGCAAACCATAAGAGCAATGTGGCCTAAAATTAATGAGGAGTGTAACTAAAATGGTGAAGTATGATCTTAAATTATAATATTAATCAAAAAGAGGCCCGATATCTCATCCTTTTCCTTTGCTCTTAGACAAACACATATAATCAAAGCCTTAGAGCAATTTACTGAACAAACAGTAAGAGTAATATGACTGTGAGCTGAAAGTCAGAAATGTAACTGAAATTGCAATATTAGCTAAAATAAGCTTTATAAATAATTTTGTTTACCTCATCTCAAGATAATACTTATACTGTGAGCTCACTACACAAACAGAAATAATAAGCACAATATTATATTATTTAAATGTTGTCAGATTTTTAGGTGTGAGGGGTAAATAAGTGGGGGTTTAAACACAGACACAGAACAGAGAGAGAAAAGAGATTGAGAATCTGTCTTACTCCAAAGCAGCGAGTTGGTCCTGGACCTCCACCACTCCCAGACGTTTGTGGACTTCCTGTAGAATTTTTTGACCTTGGAATCCACTGCCCCTGCCGTCCAGACGAGCCACAATGACATTATCAGAGCTGACCAGCACAGAGTCCCAGTCCAGATGGAAACGATCACTCACCTGCTGACCACCAGGGGCGCTGTCACTGAAGAAAGAAAGGAAAAATAAAGGTTTGTTGGTATGCGTTCTCATACACATGTACAGAACACAGTGTAAAGAGTGCAAGGCGACTGGCCGTGTCGGGTAATCAATAGCAGGTGATAGATAATCAGTGATGTGACAGGATCAATAAAGAGCTAACAGGCTGTGCGCCCTGTTGTTGCCGTAACACTTCTCTGATTAGACACTAACATGACCGGACGCTCTCACACACACTCTGCCATTTCAGCTAGAGTGATGTGATATGAGTGGCCACTCTCAGGATTATTGATCCACGTTTGAATCCCAGAACCAAATATCAATAACACAACATGACTCTATTTTCAAGGTCTAAAGTGATTCACTTACATTTTACAGTGTTTGTGAAAATTGATTTTAAAAGGCACAGGACGAGCTCATAGTTCATAATGAATGCAAGCTAATCTGTGTAACGCTTCGGATGGCCTAATATGCCACGCAGCGCTGGAAAAGTTACTTTCAAAATGTGCTTTCAAAAAGGGTTACAGATTACTGAGCACCTAATTAAAACTGTTATCAGAAGCAGCATATAATGGATTACACAATTTCAGTAATGTGCTCTGATTAGTTCCTATTATTTTTGAATTACATTCCATTTAAAAGCCATTTATTGAAGTAATTTCTTCCGAGGACCGTGTTGCTTGAAAAAAAAGTGTTGGGTGTAATCCTAACAATGAATAATAAAAAATAAACAATAATTAATCATGGTGTCAGAATTCCAATTAGAAATATTATTTCTTTGTACTCTCTGTCTGTCACAACGTGCATATCACTGCTGTCAGAACAAAATTTTGTATCTCCAAAGTGATAACTTTACAGGAGAAGGAAAAAATATGCTTTACTTTTAATGTAAGTCAATGGAACCAAGCAATTTTGGGCCATTTCATTGGGTCCATCTATTATGTAATTTTGAAACAATGTAAAGGGCAACAGGTATTTTCTAAATATGAGACACAAGGTTTTGTTCCAACAGTAGCGATATGCTATGTAGTTCTTCTTCTCCTTCTTCTACTTATTATTATAATAATAATAATAATAATAATAATAATAATAAATAATAAAGTTATGAAGGCATGTGTAGGTTCACTGGTGGATTTGGAGAGTTAATAAACTTGGTCTATTGACATTGTAGACATAGTGAGCCCTGGTTTCTGTCACTACCACCAATTAAAAAAGAAATTGGGAGAAATCACCTATAACATTCATTCTTCTCACTGCAATTTTAATGCAGTAATGTTTTTTTAATGTTTTGTAAAGACCCAAATGTTTAAACATTTCCTGAATTATCTGGTAGGTGACCTGATGTTATGACAATTTGTAAAGAGAGTAAAAATATCTTTTTGAAATGTCATTTCGATTCTTGGAGGAAGCTTACATAGGTTTTTGAAATACAAGCCACTTGTACAGTTAATAATTCTGACTAGAATTGTATTCTCATTGGATTTAAACATGGACACAGACTGGTCACTATAGGGGATTTCAAATCCTTGGTTTTACAAGTATGAAAACAAAACAGCATGCAAATGATTGGTTGATATTCACAATTGCTGGAAGTCGTCACATTAGAAGGAAAAGATGTGTTGTATGTGTATGTGTGTGTGTAAAAAATGGTTAATTTGAGGGTAAATAGATAAACGTACAGTATAAGGAGCACAGGGTGCTGATTGCTCTCATCAAAATCCAGAGGGAAGCTGAGCTCCAGCCGTAGCACTGCAAACAAATTCTCATTATAAGATTCATCACTTTGAACAAACCGCTATTCTGCTACCACTTAAAGTGTGTTTATTATTACCACAAGCCCCATTACCACAAGCCCCACTGTAAAAACCCACCAATTTGCTTGGGCTGACCACATTTCTGTCATTTCTGTGCTAATGATGGTGTTTTGTTACCCTGGTTATTGTAGAGTAAAGTTCTGATCTCTCTGCGTGGGATCTTTCTCTGTCTGAGTGATTCTCTGAATTCCAGACCAGAATCTAGAGTCATATGACCTGCACAGTCAGAAAAAGAGACAATGTATCACCTTCAGCCACCATATCTTTATACATACACATACATACACACCAACACATGCAAATCCTCTACATTATGTTGATAATAATTGAGAGGTTATGTGGTTGTTCTATGATATTAAGTCTTTAAAGTCAGTTCTAAGATAGAAATCCAACAGGAAAACATAATCATTGCTTCCATGCTGAGGAAAACTGTTTTAGTTGTCAAAATTGTGTTTAACCCCTTAAAATCCCAGGCTTATTACATACTAAGGCTTATTACTGAGTAACCACAGAGACTTCGATGCAAACTGAGCTATTCTTAGGTTATAGAAGTGTGTAATAAAACTTTGGGGCTGGCCAGAGGGCTCTGGTCATTTAAGAGGTTTACCTATTTATATAAACAGAAATGCACAATTAAGGATTAGTTAATCCATCACTAAATTCATGGTACATTCCCGCTGGTTCACAAATATAATGCTGCTTAGTTGTTTAACAAGCAAAATACAGCCAGCTATCATTTTTGAAGCAAAACAGGAACATTTTGACTCCATTATTGACAATAGAACCATGAAACATAATAATTTATATGACAGACTATTTTTAATATAATTCTTTATGTTATGGACTGTCATTTTCTACCCTCAGAGCTGTGCCTAAGCATCTGTGGAGGCCAGAATAATTAATTCTTTCCTTCAGTGTTAAATGACAGTCAGGTGCAGGAGCCACCACATTGTTTTGAAAGCCCAGGCTGTGGCTTTAAATAGCTAGTAATTGTATGATCTTTAACAAGGCATGTGATAATTTAGTTTTATTCTGAGGTTATTAGTGGCAAAATACCCACTGAGTCATTAAAGTAGAGCACTCAGCAAGAAAAAAAGAAAAGGAAATAAAAAGAATAGACAGAAAAAGAATATTCATATTTTGACATTTCTGAATGACCAAGTATTTTTGTCAGCTGTAATTAGACTGAGCAGTCAGACTTTGTGTGTGTGTGGGCGCATGTGTGTGTGTGTGTGTGTGTGTGTGTGTGTGTGTGTGTGTGTGTGTGTGTGTCTGTGTCTGTGTCTGTGTGAGTGCTTAATACTTACGGGTGATGTTGCCAAGCTGATGTGCAGTAGTCTTGGGAACACCAGGCCCTGAGAAAATATGAGCATTTTAACTCATCAGGCAAAGTAAATTACCTTAATTGGGTCTGCTTAGATTCTGCTAAATTAGATTAAGTCTAGATTAAGTTAAAACTAGAGTCAAGCATTATCTTCTCTCTTGAAAAATGGAGGTAGAGAAATATTATATGTCCAAAAGTTTGCAAACACCTGCTTACCCAACAATTTGTTCTAAAATCAAGGGTATTAATAGTGAGTTTGTCCCCCCTTTGCTGCAGTGACAGCCTCTACTCTTCTGGGAATTCTTTACAATTAGATGTTGGAACATTGCTGTGAGAATTAGACTGCATTTAGCCACAAGAACATTAGTGAGACCACAAATGTCACTCCATCTCATGAATAAAAGGGTTTCACTGCTCCACAGTTCAGTGCTGTGGAGCTTTATACCCCTCTAGCCATCTCTTAGCATTGGGCATAGTGAACTTAGGCTCATGTGTGGCTGCTTCAGTGCGTTCCATTCTATTGTTCCTTCCTTTCTGTGGAGATTATGTAAGTTGTATGCTCATTATACAAGTTGTTGAACACCTGTGTCAGCAATGGGTGCATCTTAAAGTAGCTGAATGCACTAATTAGAAGGGGTGTCTAGAGACTTTTGGACATATAGTGCATGTGTGTATTACTGTGAAGTAGTGGGGGTGTACCTGCACAGTGCAGCAGTACTGCTTGTGAATCAGAGCTGAGGGAAGCGTCGTAGTAGGAGCAGTGAGGTTTGAATAGAGAACATGTCAAACACTCACGATGAAATGGATCCACTGTGCTCACCCTGAAGACATGGGTCAAAACATAACATCACTGTCACACATTGAACAGAAGTCTTTAAAAGCAGCGTAAATGTGTAGTAGTGCGATTTCTGTAGTAGTGTTTAACCCCTTTAACTCTAGGGGCTACTTTCCTGGATATGGATTAATTAAGTGTTAGACTTAATTGCATTAACAATGGTGATTCATCATTAAAATATTTTTTTACTCCAGGGTCTAAGAAACTGGTCCTGCACTTATTATTCAATTATTAATCATAACAGGTATTATTCAGCAACTGCTATAAATGATTTGGTAACTACTAAGAAACCAGTAGGTAAGTTATGTAGTTGTGAGAGAGAAGAAATGAGGGGTGTATATACAGGCCCTTGCAGTTTAACCCCTCGATGGCCAGGGTCCACCACCAGGCCCAAAGTTTTATTACACACTTCCATAACCCAAGAATAGCTCAGCCAGTTTGCATTAAAGTCCCTGTGGTTACTAAATAATAAAGCTTAGTTTGTAATAAGGGGTTAATCGTATTTCACAGTACCCATAAAATATGTCTGACTAATGAGGAATTTCAGATGAACCATGCATTATAAAATTGATGGAAAATATTTCTAAGGAACTATGAACTGTGTATGGTTTACCAAAAAGGAAGCACGCTGGATTTTAAGTAAGCAAGTAAACCGTTCTAAAAGTGTTTTCTTCGCTTAAGTGATTTTTGAGGTAGTTAATGCATTTGGTTTTTGACATCAAGAAAATATGCACTTGTGCTGCCTGTTTTATCTTGGCACGGTAGTCTTTGTGGAGAGGTGTGGATCATTTTAATAGCAAGAGGTTCCCATCTCTCCCATTTCAGCCCTCTTTGCTTATTAGTAGCTCAACACAGAGTCAAATTTCACACAGAGAGCCAAATGTTTCTTATTTAATCAGATAATAGAGTTACAGGGAAAATATTTTATTTATTAAATTATTATTATTTTTTAAGGTAGAATGGCCACTAGAGGGCCTGTAGAAAGAAGCCCCTGGGTTAATGATCACCTGCAAATGAAAGCCCCTGGAAAGCTCTGTGCTCACCTGTACAGGTGCCTGTGAGAGGCTCCACCCTCTGTGCTGAGATAATAACTACAGAGAAACAAGAAGACATTCAGAGCAATGCTGGTGCATAATGTTATTCTGACTTATTGCTTATGAATGTGAGAGACAGAAATGGGTAAATATATAGATGGATACAAAGAAGAGTGCATGCCTGTGTGAATGCGTGTGTTTGTTTGTGTGTGTGTGTGTGTGTGTGTGTGTGTGTGTGTTGGTGTGTGTAACTCACACAGTGTTCAGGCTCTCGTCATAGGCTAGAATCTTAGTGACCTCCCAGCTGCCAGAGGTCAGGTGTCTTATATTGACCTCTGAGCCTGGTTCCTGGACACACGAAGAGCGGGGGTCACATAAAGAACACAATTATTGGCAGTGTCCAAAAGACTAATTAACTATTTAGTGCGTTGTTTAACGAGTATGTCGTTATGTAGTGGAGTCTAAAAACACAGTGGAGAATATCCAGAATGTGACTTCTGTTGCAGAGTGAAGAGCAAACCCATGTATTATCAGAAATTCTGTTCCCTATAATATTGTTTCTGTGTCATGCTCCTGATTGTCCAGTTTCAGGGACCATTTCAAACTGTCAGTGTTGTGTTCATCTGTAGTGACTTTTTCCTTTGTATCTATTTGTATCTGTTGATTTTATAAGTGAAACAGTTATGATAATCACTGGCAATGATAAAAGCATGTTTAATTTTTTAAATTAATTATTGTTTTTTCTAAATTATTTCTCATAGCATATTAAAACAAGCAGAAAAACTCTATACAACATGAAGACTGCAGACTTTCAATTAATAACACATTTGTGCTTATAAGAACAAGAGGAATTGGCATTAAAACAGAAAAGAATACAGACTTAAAATACAGACTTCAAGCTAGCAATATGCAAGAGTTGAATAATTTAGCAAAAAAGAAAGTCTTGACTTCTAAGGGTTAACTTTATAATAATGAGTCTCCCTTATTGGGTTTAGTATCTGTGTTTAGTTGTAAGGAATGTGTCTGTGTGGAGCGTCTCTACCTGCTCTGACATCATGGTGATGTGGCGAAAGGATCCTCTGCTGCCGTGCTTTATGGGTAATGTCATAAAAAACGTGGTTCCGTCTTTGGAGAACACAGGTTCTTCATTCTGCACCAATGACATAACAGGACACTGATTAACTCTGCCTACGCAAAAACACATAAATGTCTAAGAAACCGAGAGCCTGATGTACTGAGCACTTTGCACCAATTTCACAATTGCACAAACTGGACGCGATCTGTCCAGGTGTTATGTACAAAACTGGCGCACAAGCCTAAATCCACAGTTCATGGGCCGTATGCATGGTAAAACACAAAATGTACTTCTCTTACTCATACATAAGTGAGGGTCATAAAAAACATGGTAGGACTGCACAAAAGCTGGGTGGGTGGGTGGCTGCAAGTTTTCCTCTGCATTTAAAAACCAGGGGTAAATTTGCGTTCATGTCTAAAAAGACTTATAAAAGACATGTTGTTTGAAGACTTCCTTTACCAACGGCAGCAGACAAGCAGCCATGATTCACTGAACTTTCATTTTCTGTTTTGACTCAATCTGGCTAGATTGTTTCACTGTTTCGTTTTAAACCCTGTGCCTCATGAGTGAGCAGTTAGTGGGCGGGGCTGTGCGCAGTTCGATAAGCTACAGTCTCATTAAATCAAATGTTAAATTCAGGCGCATATGGGGGTACATCAAGGCTCCTGTGTTCGTACGTACATCTAGCCCAGAAACTTAATACTATCCACGATTAATATCAATATGGATATTATTTTAATTTTTTACATTTCATTATTGTTATTTCATTACCTGCTGGTCGATCCACTTGTCTGAAGTCATGACATGTTTCTATGGTAAGAAAAGGTGAAAGAGTTCAACCAAGTCAACCCACAAGAACAATCATCTCTGCTTTTGTATGTGTATTTGAATGTGTGTCCATCCACAGAAGCAATCATTCATCAGTGTGTATGTGTGTGTGTGTCAGTCAGTAAGAGCAAACACACGCATCTCTGCTTGTGATTGTATGTGTGTTTGTGTGTGTGTGTGTGTGTGTGTGTGTGTGTGTGTAGCTGTGTCAGAGATCACCCACCCATACACACTCTCCAGTGTGTATGTAGCACAGTGAGAGGATGGATGTGTTCTGAGCTCTGTTCAGCCAGCGCACAGCCACATACTCCTCAGTCACCCACCTCACCATGCTAATGTAGTACTCACTAGCAAACAAACACAAACATGTTTACAAGCACTTTGACATGGTACTTACAGTGTTTCAGCAAAACAAACACTATTCATTATTATGCACATTATTATTAAATATTAAACTTAATGTGGCAATTATTAAACCATTTACTTCTCTCTATCCCACTTAAACCTGTACAGCACTGCACATTTTATATTGTTACATTTATTTCATTTTTACTCTATTTATGCAATGTGTGAGTATGTGCTAAAACAAAACATACTGGACTGATAAACTTGGCTTATAAATTCTGATTCTGATTAATTGTCATACATTATCAGGCATTTTACATTACATATTTCATTCAGTGTGAGTGTGAGTGGTACCTTTTCTCCAGGCTGCTTGGGGGCAGCAGCTCTTTGGTATGCGATGAGCCATCCAGACTAACAACACTTAGCCTCACTGTTGGGTTTACCTGACCAAACTGACACACACACACACACAATGCAAGTCTCTCAGAATTTAAAATTATTTATATGTTGCAAATAATACATTAGCTTATTAATATTTAGTAACACCTGTGTAGTTAAAGGTATTTTAAGTTACTTTTAGCACATCATATATATTGCAGCTTACATCTGGGTCCTATATTGTCTCCAAAGAGAAAATCACAAAGTCCTAATGGATTTCAAACTCATGGTTTAGCTTTAAATATTGTTTGCAGCAGTACATAAGTCTGACAGAAATGTATGAATTCTACTTAAAAAAAAAAGTTTGGCAAAAATATTTTTGAAAACTGCCTGAAAAATTGAATTCCAAAGATTAAATATCACACAATATGTCATAAAATACATAAAAAGAGTATGTTGAGGGAATTAATTAGCACAAAAACAGGTGATTAAGAGTGAAAAATGTTGTATTTATACCCAGTTAATATTTCAGCTCAGTTCTGTCATTGTGAAGGCAGTTAAACTCACACTTAAGATGCGATTTAGAAGCTGCTGAAAAGAAAATTTGTAACTGAAATACTAACTGACACTATGAAATTTTGCATTGTTGCCTGAATGTAAGATTAAGCTTTTTGCTTTAATTTTTTTCATGGAAGTCCATGAAACATGACCGGACATGCGAGTTGGCATCATCTGTGTCAGAGTTATGCTGTGTTTGTTAACATAGTGATGCGATACTGCTGTTATTTTGAGAGTGTATAACACTAGCTAAAGCTAAACGCTGTGAAACCGTCCACACAGTTCACACAGGCAGAGCTGATAACAGCAGAGAGAGGAGAACAAGCTGAGTGAAAGGTTGTGGTTTGTGGCCTTCAGTTTACTGAAAAACACTATGTATTAGTGAACTGAGCTACTTTAAGGTACACCCATCGCTGACACAGGCATTCAGTTGCGCACACACAGCTTGTGTAATCCCCAAAGGAAAGCCAATGCAATGGAATGCTTTGCACATGAGTCTAAGGTCACCATACCCAATGCCAAACATCTGCTAGAGGAGTACTGTGCAATGTCAACAAAAGGTACTGTATAGGTTTAAGGTAGAACCAATGTAAACATACTATCGAAGGTACAACAATGATCTTAAGATTCAATTGTGTACCCTAAATTTTTAAGGTACAATACATTCACATTCCCAGGAGAAAAGGGGCATGATTGTATCTTTCCATAAGCGTAACATATTAAAACCAAAAAATAGAAAATGCAGAAAGAGAAAATGCAACATACTGTCCTGAAGACATACTCTTGAGGGTACCGCCCCAGTGACAGTTTAGTACCATTATTTTTTCTGAGAGTGTGGAACTGTATTCTCGGGAGTGATAGAATACTGTTCAATACATTCAGAATAAATTGGAGTGGAGTTTGTGATCCAGAACTGATCATCCAACATCAGTTTCTGACCTCACTAATTCTCATGTGACTGAATGCAATCAAATCCTCGCAGCAATGTTTGAACATCTAGTGTAAAGCCATCCCAGAAGAGCAAAGGCTGTGACTGCAGTAAAAGAAGACAAACCCCCTATTAGTATCTTACGTTGGATGAGCACAAACATTTAGACATATAGTATATGTATACACAGTGCTCTCTCTCTCTCTCTCTCTCTCTCGCTTTCTCTCTCTCTCTCTCCTCATTACTGCTGCTGTCTACTGACAGTTACCCAACCTGACAGCAGCAATCAGACTGATTCACAGAAATAACCTTCAGTCTTTCTCTCCACAGAGGCTGTTCTCCCTATGCAATATAGGCTTTCATGCGTGTGTTTAATGATATTTTGTTGTGTGTAGTCGTGTTAGTCTGCAGTGGTATCATTAGACTAGTTTCTGTTTCTGAAGATGATGAGTTTCTGGTCTTCTGGTCTTGAGTCACACACTCATAAACACAAATTAAACTTAAACACAATGTTATTTATGCACATGTTCCCACAATCCACTAAAGCCACATTATTCTAAAACAAGTCTATATTGAGAGAAATTATGTGCTACAGGGTTTGGAGGAAGAACATTTCCATCATCAAATCCCCAAAAAACGAAACCCTCTTACCGTTTCCATCTGGGTGTGTGTTCACACGTGTGTGTATTTATAATAGCTATGATTGCTGTAATTGAATCCTGTGCCCTTGGACTGAAAGGCATATTTATTCTAAATTAATCTCATCTGGCTGTCCAATCTGAATATGAAATATGAAAACACTTTGATTATATGAATTGGCCTTTGTGTACCTGCCCTTCAAATTCATGCGGTCAGCAGCTGCATAAATAAACACAGCAGAATTTTGCTGAGCTAAAAGGTGTGAGCTGAAGGATGTGTATTATAAATGTCACCTGCTCCGTCCTTCTGTACTCCTCTTTAGTCGCAAGGAGAGTTCGGTCTGAGAGAGTATTTGTGTGTTTATGTGTGTGCGTGTGTATGCAAATATGTTGCCGTTTTTATGGAGTATACATGTGAGGCATTCGTTGTGAGTACTGTGCATGATCATTATTATTGTGCATTATCATGCATATTATTATTTATGTTACTACAGTACTGTACAAAAGTCAAAGACCACCATTAATTGTTTTTAATTTTCAATAAAAATGGCCATTAACTACAAGTTATTTTTTATTCATATTTCTGAGGAGATTAGATATACAGTGTTCCACTTGCACATGCAAGAGGAAAGTCGAAGGAAAATAAGCGGAAAAACTGAGTTTCCAGAACTCTGGTGTTCAAAACATATAGTGAAATGTGACTCCTAACAATCTTGCAAGAACTGGTAGACCAAAACTGTCTCTCAGTTTCTCTCAGAAAATCAAGCTCCACTCTTGCTTCAAATATAAAAATTCATGTGTTTCTGTCCATCCTTCCATTGTGAGAAGACAACTCAACACTATGAGTCTGAAAGGATGCGTAGCTGTCAAGAAGCCGTTGTTGAGAAAAAGTAATAAACAAAAATTTCTAAAAGTCATACAAAGAAGCTGCTGGTGTTCTCAGAATAATGGACTGACCGCAGAAGAGTCCAGACCTCAACATCACTGAATGTGTGTGAGATGTTGAATTGTAAGAAGCTGATAAATCAACCAACTTCTAAGCCTGAACTTTGAAGGTGTTGAAACATAATTTACATATTGTAATTAGTTGTTGAGGCATCTGAATAATTTTGTGTTAAATATATATTTTCAGAGTTTTTTCCTGATGCTGAAAAATGAATAATTTTACTTAATGGCCATTTTGACCAGATAATAAATAAATTAAGGGCGGTCTTGGACCTTTGCCTAATACTGCATGTACAGGGAGTGTGCAAAATAAAGGGAAACACCACATGAAATGTTCACACTCAATGTATGTGGTAAATCTACAATATAGGTGCACTTTATAAGTATACAGTAAGCGACTGTAGCCCATCTGTTACTGTACAAATTATTAACCACCCTCTGCCTTGTCCATTAATAATGATTACAGGACCTCTGCTACAGGATGCTACCATCTACAGGACCACTGCTGGGTTGAGAACGGTCAACACAAAAGTACACAACCATCACCAACCTGTGTTCAGAAACCTACCACTGAGGAAAAGATAGAGGATAACTAACATAAAATCAGGAATTTTATGCTACTTGAAAAGCGACACTCTGAAACTGTAAAAAGTAGACCAACAAGGGAGGTGTGTGTAATGAAGTGAACAGTAAGTGAAACACTGCTGTGTGTGATCTACTTGGATCAGTGCCTGTTTAGGTGTTACTGCTGTGCTTAGAATGGTCCACCACCCATATAATATCTGGTCAGTGGTGGTTTTATGGTGGTCATTTTCCACTGGGGGATGATTTAGAGGGCGGCTAATAAATTGTGCATCAACAGATGGTCTACAGTCAATAATTGTAAACCTACAACATGCATTTATATGGTAGGTGTCTCTGATAAAATAAGCGATGAGCATGAGAATTTCATGCGGTGTTTTTGTTGATTTTTACACCCTCTGTATGCAGTATATATGTTTACATTTACGTTTCACATATTTAGCAGATGCTCTACCTGAGCAGCTTCAAATGCTAGACTAACACCTTGATCAAGACCTCTTTGTATAGCAGTAATGAACTAAGGGCAGTATATGACTTACAAACTAAAAATAATGACAAAAATTGCAATTAAACTTTATGTTGAGGTAACAAAGTCCATCTGTGCTGACTCTGCTTTATTAGATTGAATGGAAATGTGTGGCATAATTAAATTGAATTCATGCAACATTTTATTCTTTAGTAGTCTGTGGCATTGCTGCCTGGAAGTGTCTGATATGATTGGATGTGTATATGTGAGTAAGTACCTTTGGGTAAGGGTAGTATACTCCTCGTGGGTAGAGAGCCCCAGTAAATTGCGGCAGCAGCATGTTTGGTACAAGCGTGTCATTGATAGTCAGGAATGCTAGGCTGGACCCCTCTGGAGACCACCAGTGAGCTACTGATGAGTGCAGAACCTCCTCTATCAGTCAACCCAAAAAGACAACAAAATACCACAATCACCTGAATTACACTCCATCAGTCTATTATCAGTCATTCTCTCTGTCTTTAAATCATCCTTCTTTCCTATGCATGCTTAATGTTGACACACACTAACAGAAGACGCCACAAAGGGTTCTCTGAGTGAAGCTTTAGAAGGACCACTTTTGATTCCCTAAAAAAGAGATTTGTGTGTCTAAAGAACCCTCTAAAGTATCCATGCTCTACATTTCTCTTGTATTTAATTTTCCCCCTAAAGTACACTTCTGATGTTTGTGTGGTTTTATGTACTAAAAGAGTTACAATTAATTTTAATATGACCATTTTACATTTTCCAACATCAGTTTGTCCCTTAGAATGAAATAGTTTCTGTTCTGATTGGCTGACCTGCATTGTAACTCATTCAAGAAGTAGTCCAGGCTGAAGCACATCTCATCTCATCTCATCATCCTAACTTCAATATGAGCACATATATATATATCGCTGCTGTTGGAATAAAACCTTGTAAACCTTGTAACCTTGTATTTTGGGCTGTTTCTGTTGGTCCATTCAAAACAGAAACACACAGTGTAAAGGGCAACAGACATTTTGAAATTATCTCAAAAACAGAAAAATGACAAAAGTGGAGATACAAGGTTTTGTTCAAACAGCAGCGATATATATAAATAAGACCTTTAAAGGATTAAAGAAACCACATATAATGTAGTTTCACATACAAGGTTCTTCTTTCTTAAAACTTTTGCATTACTTAGAGGTACTTTAAATCTTAAAAAGGTTCTTCACACCATATATTCAGTCATAAAAATGGTTCTCCAAAGTAGAACCCTTTCTGGCAAAAGAGAGAGACACAAATAAGCACAGAGCAATAAGGTAACATGTCCAAAGTTTGATAAACTTAGTAGCTACAAGTGGAGAGAAGCTATTTCAGTACACAGAAAAGAGAAAACAAGCACACAGCGGGAAGATGATGTACGACGCAGGTGCAGGTGTGGCAGTACGAACATTAATCTGTCTAGAATTGAAGTAAATTTGTACAGCAGATATTGCAAATACACATTTTTTTAAGGTAAGTTGCTTCACCCACATGCAAATACAAACATGTCTATTATACCAACAGCTAAACTGTCTTATTATACTGATTGAAATTACATATGCACTACTGATTCAAACCGAGTGAAACTGTGATTTCAGGTGATTATGGTTAAACAGAAAGAGCTGCCCTGCATAATGGAAAACATGATTGTAAACAGCAACACAGCTAAAGCACAAGCTTTACAAATTTATTGTGCTACATATTCAATTTTGGACATAATAATTTCTGTTTGAAGAGAATATATTAAGAGTTAGACCTGCTGTAGGACATTAAATGTATCCAATAATTTATCTTTATTTAAGAACTATCAGAAAAATCTCCACTGAAAAATAGAATATGGCACATTGGGTTTAAGCTGAGCATCTGCAGATTGAGATATATGATGTTTGTGCTGAATATGTAAATACGTACGTGATTTACTGAATCAAACAGCAAATCATTTTGTATAGCATTACGCTTATTAGGGTGATGGTTAATGTACTGACATCCTAAGACAGTCCTTGGATGTCTTTCAGTTGGAGGTGGCCAGAGTGATGTGTTGCTATGGTAACAGACAAGAAAAGACCTTGAGCTTGATCTGAAAAGATTGAAACTCCATGTGGTGTAGCTGTTTATTAAGGGGTAAAGTTAATGCCACAAGTAAGGGCATATTTGTTAGCCCATTAATAAAAATATGGAATAATTCAATTAAATAAGTATGATGAACATTTTTGAAGCTGAAATATCAGTGATTAGGTTGCTTGTGTTTATGTGCTTGTATGAACAGAAGCGCAGTATAGTGTTTACCTTCATACAGCCAGTCAGGGATGCCGTTGAAAACCAGCCCATCTCGCCCTGATGACGTCAGTCTGAGAGAGCTGCTCTTTACATCTGACTGGTAATAAATGTTGTTTTCAAAGATGTAAATCTGAGAAGAAAATGAGGGAGAGAGAGAGAGAGGGAGAGAGAGAGAGAGAGAGAGAGAGAGAGAGAGAGAGAGAGAGAGAAAGAGAGAGAGAAAGCACTGTTGAAATTTTTCTATATGCTTAATACAGTAACTCTGAAAAGTTTGGAAATACTTATCATGACTAATTGTTGTTACATTCATTGTTATTAATTTGGAAGATAAACAATGAAGATTGACTGACACCACACACCAAAGAGCTTTTTAAAAAATGTTTTTTTTTTTCAATATTTCAAGCTTTTTGGAAACAGTGGAATACTGTATTTATGCAGTTGAATTCAACTGAATTCAGCAGACTATAACATACTTTTTTACGCAGTTAATTAAAAGTCTCTTGATAATGAATGTATTCACTGCTGCTGCATTATTGATATGTTGTTGATGTGTTACTGAGAGTCTGTTGAGTGTTTATTCCATCTAAAATGACCACTCAAAATAAAGTGTCACCCTATTGTTTTCTTACTTTGTTGTTTTAGAAAAAAAAGCATGGCAACTATTTATAAAACTTAAAGCTGTTAAGCTGTTTCTTGGTTTATTGTGAGGGTCTGTTAGTTAGCTAATCTATCTAATGTAAGCTAACAGTCAGGGTGAAATGGCTGTGGAGTGTCACCAAAAACAGTAAGAAGTTATTAAATAATATACTGTTATGTAATTGTGGTATTTTCTTATCAAGTTTTCTACCCCAAGGTTTAATAATCAATATAATAGTTGATGACAAGCATGGCCATAGTATGATGCCCCATGACAATAAAATAAAGCAAAATTAGTAATTAAATAAAACTCAATAAAAGGCCTAGTGATGCTTGAAATAACCTATTCAGGGAGAGAAAATAAATGGCTTCATTTACATAAATAAATAAAGCGATAAAAGTGACAATAATAATAATAATAATAATAATAATAATAATAATAATAAATCAGATGTTAAGATTATATCCTTTTCTACCAGCATTAAAATATCAACAGTGAGCTGTCTCCAGAACGTGAAAAATGCTGGACACTCCTAAAAACAAAGCATTAAGTGCTCAATGCCCATTTTGGAGTGTAGATTGGAGTGATAGCATCACATCAGAATCATTTTATACAGGCATCTTAAACAAATTGGTTTTATATTGTTCAAAATAGTGATTTCAAACTTGTGTACATATTTTCATAATGTTCACAGAAAATGTGATATTATGTGTATTTTGACACTAATACTTTATCTCTTACAAGGTAATGACAGAGAAAAAGGCACAAAGATATGAAACAGCAATAAAACAGAAACTGAGAAACATCATCTGATGCAAAAAGATATGCACAAATAACTAATCTCCCTCTCTCTCTCTCTCTCTCTCTCTCTCTCTCTCTCTCTCTCTCTCTCTCTCTCTATCTCTCTCAGTGAAGTGTTGCTTGTCTCTGCAGGGCTGGTGGTGTTTCACAGTGAAAGATTAATCTACAAATGCATAAACATCAGCACCGTGCAGATACAGTTGTCACTGATTGCTTAATTACTTCCCTGCAAGCACACTGTAATAATGGTGGTATTATGCAATGCTAATTGGTTGTGTGCACATGTGTGCAAGTCACACTGCAGCCCAGGTCGCCTACAGCACTTCTGACATAACTCCGATATTGAAGACTAAGTGTGTTTGCTGGTGTGTTTGTTCTCTCTGTGCAGAAAGCAGGTGGTCTCTGGGCCTAAGCTAGCAGAACCACAGATCCTGTACAAGCACAACACAACCAACACAACATCATCACGGATGTGTGGAATATTTACTTCCTTTCTGTATTTCTGGATCACAGGATAATTAAAGGGTCTGCACCAGTGCGCTGAAATGTGCTGTTAGACTCTCTTGTTTGTGCTGCGCGGTGCTGTGTGGGATTAGATTAGCTTTTATTATCCTGTTCTGCTCTATAGGACTGAGTGTGGATGCATGGTGTGTCTCCATGGTGTACTCACCAGCTGTTGCCCCTGAACTCCCCAAGATGCAAACTGCAGAACGGAATCCGATACCTCAGGGGGGTTCAGCTCATGTACTTCTCTATACACACACACATACATCCACACAAACACACACACACACGCACACATTGAAAATTTGGATCATCACCTTTAAGCACATCTCTCTCCCGTCTCTGTGCGAGGTGGTTAGTTTAGTGCTTTGATGGTAAATACCTGGTAAGCAAATTGTAGATCAGGTAAGATGCCAGGAAGGAGTACCGGTATACCTGAAACAGGCAAAATCAGAACACATTGTAACACATAATTTGGAAAGTAATGAATTACATTTACTCTCATTACAGTACTTGAGTACCTTTTTCCCTGTAATGGTACTTTTTTGAGCAGCATTAAATCACAGTACTTTTACTTTTGAATTTATAATAAGATACTTTTACTTCACTACTTTATTTTTATTAACAAGAATTACAGAATAAAAGCTTGTTTCAGCTTGTAAACTACAAGAATGTAATGTTAAATTAAAAAGATTCAGTTGTAAAAGCCAATTAGAGAAAGCAGCACCCAGCTTAAAACCGCAGTTCAGCCCTGAAGCATTCAGAGATGTTTAGTGGAGAGTGAATAACACACACAAGGAATACGAAATTTGTCCAAATTTGTCCAAACTGTCAGTTATTTTCAAATGAACTAAAGAAAACAGCATTATTATGACCTGCCTCCCAAAACCTGTCAAAATCCCTGCTTTTCAAAGGCCAGCTTGTACCCTGAGGAAGCATACAAACAGTTAGCTGACTGGCCAACTAATCTCAGCTAAACATGTAGTGTGTTCTCTTACTATTGTCTTCTTACTGCATTGTTTTAGAATAAAAAGCATGGTAGCTATTTATGAAACCTAAAAGCTGTCGCTTGTATGGTTTGTTGGGAGGGCATGTTTGCTAGCTAATCTATCTAAAGTAAGCTAACATTTAAGGTGAAAGGGCTGATGTCACTAAAAATTACAATTTTAACTGAGACAATTTTAAATCTACCCATTTTCAGGTAATCTGATTTTTCAGGTAATCTGATTTTTTTTTTCTTTCCAGTATAATGGAATACTTTGGTGGGAAAAAAAATCCTTATAATATAATAATCTAATCATAAAATGCATATAGTATAATGAAAACCGTGTGCCTTACACAGCACACAGAAAGATGTGTAAATATTGTTGCATTAGTAGAACGTACTATGTTGAGTCTCAGTACTTTGGTATTTTTCACATGTAATATCATGTTTTGCTTTAGTTCTGTTTGTACAGGTTATTTCTAATGATACGGTAGTTTCTTTTATTAATGCTTTTACTCAAAACTACTCAAGTAAATTAGCACTACAGTAACAGTACTCTTTCGTAAGAAGGCATTTTCAGCATTCTTTCCATCCCTGTATGCATGTGTTCATAGGGTTATATTTATAGCAAGTATTACAATTACAGCTATAAGGATAAGGTTAAGATTAAGATTTGGTCTTCGTGCAACACAGCAAAAATCACTGTTTACTGTTAGCTGACATCTCTAATACAGCTCATTATATGTTTGAGTATGGGCATGTGTTTGCCTTCCCCAGTCACCACTAAGAGTCATAAACATTACTGATCTATGAAATTGAATGGATACAAAATTAATTTCTACAATCTGAACTACAATATCACTCAGAGTAAAGCTGGATATATGTTTGCAGCTTTTACTGCAGTCTGCACTTAATAGAAAAAGGTCATTTCTTAGGACCTTTTTGATGTCGTATGTTAGGAGAACATAGTTGAGATCTGGTGACACTGCAAACTTGGAAGCCTTAAATGTTGCCTGTAAAAACACACACACACACACAAAAAAACAAATGTCATTCTAATAATTTTTGAAATGAAAAAGTGAACTGTTTTACAACAAGAAAACTGAAAATGTGTTACAAATACCAAAGTGACTAATCTTTCAAAAACATTTAGCCAGAAGCAACACATTTACCACAGACAGATATAATGGTGTGCTAAAACCCACAAAACACTGCGACTAACAGACTTTGCATATTACTAAGACATACAGTACTGTTTGGAATTTTAGAATCAATGTTTTCAACAATATATAACTAAAAGTTAGATAAAATATAATAGAATAAAACATCTAACACTACCATTTGGTGTCTAGTTTATAAGATTTATATTACATCACATTTTGGGTTGTAACTGATTCAACACGTTTGTGTTATGACTGATTTAACGCGTTTTGTGTGATCACTGATTCAACACGTTTGTGTTATGACTGATTTAACGCGTTTTGTGCGATCACTGATTCAACACGTTTGTGTTATGGCTGATTTAACGCGTTTTGTACTATCACTGATATCAAGAACACAGCATATTTTTGACACACACTGTGCAGGTATAAAACATCTAGACACAAAGATATTATGAAAGAATTACACAGATTAAACCTTAAAGATCAGCAAATGGGCCCACACCTCAAATCCCCACTCCCACCACTCCTTTTACTTACAATTACTTAGTAGTTTCACAGCAGTTACTAAATAATAGGCTTGAATGTAATGTAATTAAATTGTTAAACAAGGTCATTCGGAGTGGTTTGACTGCTCCTTTCTAGAGAACCTTACTGAGTCAGAATTGGTGGTGATAAGAACCAGACAAGAATTCAATACCTCTAAAAGCTACCTCACAGAAAATGATTGTGAATCGTTTAAAATTAATATGAAATGGTAACAAACACATTTCCTGATGCCTTAGGGCACTGTTTTACGATACTAATGTGATAAGGTTTTGGTCTAAAACATACATTTTTCAATCCATTCATGGTCGAAAGGAACATGCAAGGCATTTTAAAGCAGCATTACGTGAGTATTGGTGTTTTTTGCTAATAGGGTCCCCCTGCAGTTGTGGAATGTATTTCACTTTTACATCACTGTCATAAATACAAATCACACTGCGTGCCCCCCACATGAACAGCTGTACACATGCATTTGTTGATGAGCTTAATGATACAGAATCTAACTTCTCTTCTTGTGCAAGCATGTCAAGAAGGCATATGGACGCTACAGATTACACTCGTGATTTTGTTTGTTTCTATGTCTAAATCTGCAGTGTCCATAGGCCTGCGTGATGCAAATGCATGAAAAGGGGAGGCGGATTCTGTAGGCGAGATGGAATTTGGTACAACACCTGCAAAGAACATCAGAAGAGAAAGAACCATTTTGACTTACAAGGTTTTTATTGCAGGTGGTTGCAAACTTTCAAGGTTTATTTGGTGTGAGATTAACTAATTCTAATCAAACCTTTTGAAGTGAGATTAATTTATTTCTTTGCATGCTAGCCTGAAACAGGACTCAGGTTAGATGACTTGTGGCATCCAGAACAACTACAAAACTCCATGAGACAGGGATGACACAAACAAGGTTACAGCCTTTCATAAATAACATTGGCAGGCACGTATACTCTACTGTCGGATTTCCGTTGTTTTCCCATTAGCCATGAGACTGTCTTACATCCTTTTATCTCTTTTAGCTGTCGCCAATGAGTAAAAGCTTGGTGTCTTTTTCTCCTCTTTGGTTCCTCCAACAACGTCTTCTTCGGTCTCTTCGCAGCCTCTGGCATGATGTCCATGCTGGAAATACTGAGATTCTTCTTATAGCTAGCTGAATTGTGGGTGTGTAACGTGGTGCTGTAAAGTGTTACGGTTCTCACTAGAGGTTTTTTTGCCTGCTCTTCCAAAGTTACACAGCACTCTAGCAGGTGTTCTCGCCCGCAGTGGCAATGACAGAGAGGCCATTCTCCCTATTATCAGTCAGTGTACTATCAAAAAGATTTTGAAGCTGTTCATTTAAGGTAAAATTCTTACATAATGTTGCTTTAAGGCAAAACAGCCCACAGATAAAACTTCAGAAGACACTTGTAGGATCACTGGTCATTTTGGATAGAAAATATGTCTATATTCACATTAACAATTAATGGTTATGTTTACATTAATGCTATTACATCTCAACGATCGAATCATGCAGAAGTTTTGAAAAATTGGTGCAATTCCCCTTTAACATCTGTTCTGAGAGTGCAGAACTAGTCGATGTATAAAATTACTCACAAATGTAGTGTTCTTCATTAAGAGCTCAATCTGATTGGTCTGCAGGTCTGCTTTCATCACGTTACCATCTCTGCTCTTATAGATGATCTCCGCCTCTGAGGGCAGGGAAGAAAGAAAGAGAGAAAGACAGAGAATGAGAGAGAAAGAGAGCTGTCACATTTTGACAGTGTATTTCTCTGTAGGCTGATGTTCTTCTTTCTCTGCTCTTTGACAGCAGTGATTTTACCATCAGACCACACTGCAGACATTCAGCTGTCCAACAACCCTCAGGCCAGCATCCGGACTCTCACCTTAACTCCACACATTAAATATTTACCAGGCCGAGTGGAGCCTGGGCAGAATGCTGCTGCACTTTTCAGTCGTCAAAGTGTGTGTGTATGTGTTCGCAGTTGTAAGTTAGCGTGTAGTTAGCGTGGAGAATCGGGTCTGAGAGGCGACTCTGTGCTTGGGCCGCATTTAATGAGATTTCGGCAGCGTCTCTACAAAGCCCGGGCGACACATGAAAGCAGCCGGCAGCCATGAGAGGAAAGAGAGGAAGTGAAAGTGACAATCCTGTCAGCAAACAACTGACTCTAAGAGGCAGATAGAGGAAGACAAGCATTAGCGACAGCGAGAGAGAGAAACACTGAAAGAGGGACACAACAGCTTTAGAAAGGCTGAGGCAATGTGGAGAGACTGGGAGAGAGACACACAGCATTAGAAAGACTAAGAGAGAGAGAAAGAGAGATAGAGGGACATAAAGAGACACAACTGCACTACAGAAACAAAGTCAAACATATTAGTGAAATCTTGATAAACTAGCACAGTGTGAAAAAGTACAATCTATCCCTGGCAAAGAGTGAACAGCATCTCTTGCAGCAGCATGACATCAACTCAGAGACAATGAGTAACAAATTCCTCACCCCTTGATGATCCTTACCAGTACCCAGCGTTATGTATGTAAACTAATATACATTATGTGTATATACATATGAGATATATTACTGTGCAAATGTCATGGACCACCCTTCAATTATCAGTTAAAATGGCCGTTAAGTGAAAGTTATTCATTTGTTTCTAATATTAAATATAAGATAATCAACATGCATAAGGAAGATAAAAGTAAGAGGAAAATAGTGAATAAAACAGGAGTTTCCAAAACTAGAATTCCAAAAAAATACTTAAAATATACAGACAATGGAACTGCTTACAACCATGTAAGACCTGATAGACAAGATAAACAGTACTTAAAGCTTTCACCTGTACTCTTAAAGATGAAAGCTTTATGTAGAGGAAAAAATCAAGCTCCACTCTTGCTTTGGATCTGAAAAAAATCCACAAGTGCTTCTGTTTGTCCTTCTACTGTGAGAAGACAGCTCAACACTATGAGTCTGGGATGTGTAACTGTCAATGAACTGTTATTTAGAAAAGAAAATAAGCAAAAAAGAAAAAGAAGAAAATCAGACAGAACAATGGACTTGCCCCTCCACAGTCCAGACCTTTGGAATTACTTGGATTGTGAGAAGCAGAAAATGCAACCAACTTCTAAGACTGAACTTTGGAGGTGTGGAAAAATGTCCCTGCAGATTTCTTGAAACACTGAAATTAAGTAACCTGAAAAAACAAAATGGAAGCTGTAATGAAGGCTTAAATAAAGGGTGGACACACTAAATACTGAACATTTGGATACTATATTTAGTATTTTTAAAGCTTCTTTGCAATTGTCTGTAAAATATGTTTTATGCTTTTTTTCCCTGAAGTTGAAAAGCAAATAACAAGTACTTAAAAGTTGTTTTGACTGAAAATTAAATAAATTGGCAGCAGTCTCTGACTTTTGCACAGTACTGTTTAAAATATATCTCATAGCTTATTATTGTTATTATTATTATAATTATTATTACTATTGTTGTTTTTGTTGTTGTTGTCGATAATGACAATATGGTCATTGTTGTTTTGTTGCTACTGTTGTTTTAATGCTGTAGCAATTTACATTGTACTTGCAGTGACACCAGTAAAGCTATCTTGAACTGAACTGAACTGAACTGAACTGAACAGATAAACAGCAGTGTTACAGAGATTGAGAGAGACACATAACAATAAAGCGGCTTTAGAGAGACTGAGAGACACACAGCTGTATGACAGAGACTGAGACAGACACACAGTAAAGCAGCTTTACAGAGACTGATGGAGAATGGAGCAGCATTATGGATGTGGTGCTGTGGGATCTTTGAAGAGAGATTTAGCCAGCAGGGCTGCAGCAAAACTGACAGCATCTGAGCTCTGAGAGAGCGATGCACTACCCACACACACCTTTCATTAAAGATGCAATAAGGAGTTTTCATTAATATTAAATCATCATGTCTCACTTGGCAGTTGCTTATTACTGGGTCACTTTGGTCACATGAATCAGAATAGGAAGTAACATGTTTGACTGTAAAAGAAAGTCTGTTTCACAGCAAAATGTAATATTTAAGTTCTGGTCTTAAATGCACTTTCTATACTTTAGTGGAAATGCTTGCCTATTCTTTTTCTAAGTGTTCAATGTTGCATACAGTTACATCATTATGTGGCGAGTCACCTAGGAAAGTTTTCCTGGTGCCAGAACTGCTATCCAAATTTTGTAGCTACACTGAAATATGGCTCATGGGGTGTAACGATACATTCAGTGCACAGTTTGATTTGTGTTTCAACACCAGGTTCATGATTTTGTATTCTCACAAAGTTTGAGCAAATTTGGAATTTAGAAAAATGACCTGTAATCAGGTTATTGCACTATTTACTAACTAGAACAGGTGCATTTGTAAATTAACATCAAGTTGGCTTAACAAAGTCAGCTAATACTGCCTCAAAAGTTAAAGCAGTTGCAGAATATTGTTGATGATTTTTGATAACTTGTGTTTACATAGTGATTCCAGGTAGTTGCTATAGTGTTGCTACAAGGTTGCTATGGTATTCCAGCTTGTTCTTAGGGCACTGCTTGGCGGTTAGGTGGTTGCTAAAGTGCTGCTAGGCCATTGCTGTGCTATGTCAGGTGGTTGCTAAGGTGTTGCTTAGCCATTACTATGGAATTCCAGGAAGTTATTAAGGTGTTGTTAAGCTGTTGCTGTGATATCCCATGTAGTTGCTAAGATGTTGCTGGGCCCATGCTATGGTATCCCAGATAGTTGCTAAGGTGTTGCTAAGCCATTGCTATGGAATCCCAGGCAGTTATTAAGGTGTTGTACACTGTTGCTATGATATCCCATGTAGTTGCTAAGATGTTGCTGGACCATTGCTATGGTATCCCAGGCAGTTATTAAGGTGTTGTACACTGTTGCTACGATATCCCATGTAGTTGCTAAGGTGTTGTTAGGTCATTGCTATGGTATCACAGGTGGTTGCTAAGGTGTTGCCAGGCCATTGCTATGGTATCCTAGGTGGTTGCTAAGGTGTTGCTAGGCTGTTGATATGGGATCCCAGGCAGTTGTTAAGGCATTGTTAAACTGTTGCTTTGACATCCCAGGTAGTTGCTAAGGAGTAGCTGGACCATTGCTATGGTATCGCAGGTGGTTGCTAAAGTGTTGCTAGGCAGTTTCTGTACTATCCCAGATGGTTACTAAAATGTTGCTAGGCCATTGTTAGGTTTTCCAAGATGGATGCTAAAGTGTTGCTAGGTAGTTGCTATGCAACCCCAGGCTGTTGTTATGCCGTTGCTAGGCCATTGTTATGCCACCTTAGGTGATTGCTAATGTGTTGCTAGGCCATTACTGTGCCATTCTAGAAGGTTGCTAAAGTGTTGCTAGGTCATTGCTACACTAACCCAGGTGGTTGCTAAGGTGTTTTGTAGGCTGTTTCTATGGTATTCATAGCAGTTGTGAATATGTGTGTATATATGTGTGCTAGTAAGTAAGTGAATTTGTATGTGATGTCTGTGAGTGTCAGTGTGTGAGATGGGGGTAGTTAGATTTGAAATTTAGGCAAAAAGCAAACTTATAAGCAAAATATTTTACTTATGTGCAACCATTTGATGTCATTTAATTCTTCTGATTTCTACCATTGAATTGTACACACTGACAACAGTTCTATAGGAATTCTGCAGATGTCTGTTTATTTATCTTTCTTTCATTCATCCGTCTCTTTCTCTCTATTCTTCGCACGCCCCCTCTCTCTGAGGGCCTGACAGATCTATCCTTCAGCTCTGACACACTGGCTGTCTGGAGATCTGATAATTACACCACACATCTGGACTCATCTCATCTTCCTGAGTGTGGTGTGTGTGTGTGTGTGTGTGTGTGTGTGTGTGTGTGTGTGTGTGTGCGCATGTGTGTGTGAATTCACCCTCTGGTCCCAGACCGATAATGCCAGCAGATGGAGGTTGTTTATGAGGTTTGATTCAGATAAAGACTGGCCTGAACACACTGATATAAACAAACATACTGATATGAAATGGACAGCTTGTAGAGGTCACTCACCACTGATCCACTGTGCCTCAGGGGCATGAACCTGAAACTCTTTGAGGAAGAGGTCATCCAAGGTCAGATGGGATCCCAGAGCTTTAGAGCCATCAGCTGAATCAAAACAAAGCACACACACACATAGACAGACACACACACACATGAGTATAGGCTATAGCTATCATATTAAACAGGGCTTATGATAATACTCTTTAAGTGTCAAACGTTCAAATCAAATCTTCAAATCAGATTAATAATGCAGAATCATACAGGTATAATGTGCATCTGCCTGTGTGAGCATGTGTGGTCGAGAGACCTTGAGACAGAAGGAAAATGGAGAGTCCGATCACAGACAACACAGCTGCTATCACCAGTAGAGAGATACCAATCCCCTTCCAGTTCCTGTCTGGACCCACCACATCACCCAGATCCTAGAGAGAAAGAGAGAGAAAAAGTAAGAGAGAGAGAGAGAGACAGAGTGAGAGAGAGAGAGAGAGAGAGAGAGAGAACACACTTTTGGAGATACACTTTCTTCTTTACTGTAAAAAATACAAAGTATCAGAGATAAATACTTCAGTGAAATCCCAGAGTTCAATGAAATATATATATATATATATATATATATATATATATATATATATATATATATATATATATATATATATCCACGCAGATATGGGGAGAACATGCAAACTCCACACAGAAACAACCCTGGTCACCCGGCCGGGAATTGAACCCAGGCCCTTCTTGCTGTGAGGCGCTTCCCACTGCGCCACCGTGCCACGCATATATATATATATATATATATATATATATATACATAGAAAGATGGAGGAGAGAGAGAGAGAGAGAAAGAGATAGGAGAGAAGAGAAGTATTTGAGTGGTCATCTGTTGTAAGGAGTGAGTGCAATTAGTTCTGAGAGTGAGCTGATGTGTGTCTCATTCAGCACAAAGGAAGTGCAGTAACAGATGTGTTTTAGCTCACTGCAGTCCAGCAGTCGTGTTTTTATTAGCTATGACTTTCATCTTTTCACACTCATCAGAACAGAAGAGCTCACCAGCCTCCTCCCTTTGGCCTGCTCTTCACACTCTCGCCATCAGGGAGGCGAGCCTTTTTACGGAGCGCAGAATCAAGAGGGACATACAGCCTTTATGCTCCTAAGTGTGTGTGTGTGTGTGTGTGTGTGTGTTTGCGTGTGTGTGTGCACACGTACGGATTCTCATCAAGTGGCACCTCTCACTGAAGGACACTTGACACTTCTCTTTGATTGGCTGTGATGAAAACAGAGTGAAGGATTCTGATTGGTTGTGAGTGGAACAGAGCAAAAATATTCTCTGGATTTGTTGAAAATGGCCAACTTCAAAAGCCTCAAACACATTCTCAATGACACAAAACATCAAAAGAAAAATAAATCCACCGAAAGCTAGGTAGGCCAGCCAAAGAAATGACCGGAACATGCTGAGGGCAATGAAAGTAGAAAATTTTCGAATTGTTTTGTGTTACAATGACATTCTTTACTTCTATTACACTGGTCTGGTCCAGTGTCAAGTTTAGTGCATTTTAAAATTCATCGCTTTATGTATAATGTACCTACCAAACTTGAACCAAACGTGAAAATTAATATGAGGCCTTTGACCTAAACAAGGCAACTATTTAGACTCAGGCCACCTTTACAAAGTGTTTATGAATTGTTTACAATTTGTTTATTAATGGTTATTTAATAATCACTAATAAACACTTATAACACATTAATAAATAGGGCAAAGGTCACCTGTTATATCTGATAAATATGAATATCTGATGAAGCTGAGAGGTTTAATGCTGGCTGAAGGAGAAGATAAAGTAAGACAATTAACCAGCTCTGATATGAAGTTTAAGAGTAAAGGGAATGTAGGCTGACTATCTGGCAAGCAACAGTTGCTTGTTGCTCTTTTTATTAATGTGTTGCTACTGCTTTTTACTGATTGTTTATAAACTAATTAATAACCATTGACAAAATTATAGTAAACCATTTTAAACCATTCTTTATGAACATAGTTCTTTATAAAGTGGTATGCTAAACAGTTTAGACTACAGCATGAATACTATTATTAACATGGCATGAAAGAAAAAGAAACAGTACAGCTAATAGTACATTAAGTACTCTGATACAGTACATTATAAGGGTAATTGTACATATAATTTCAGACTCAGTTAATTTTTTTTCAGGATTTGTAATTCATAATTCATAATTTATACTACACAGATTGGTCTGATCAGATAAATGAAAATTTGGGAACCAAACTTTTTGATGTCTGCTCCACCAGCTTTTTAGGGAAAAATACCCCCCCCCATCCCAACCATCCCCAAAAAATAAAAAAGCATAAAAAAGCACTACTCTCTTGTAGTGAGGTGGAGTTATCAATTCAGAATTGTTCATAGTTCAATTCATTGTTCAATGGTGATAAGGACCAGTCTGAAGACGTAATGCCTCTAAAAAAAATTCTAAAAACTATATATTTTTATTAATTGAAATGTTTACAAATACACTCCCTGATGTCTGAGACATTGTTTTACAATATTAAAGAACGGTTTTGGCCTAAGAATTTTGTATATATACTAATGCTGTGGAGGTACATGCAGTCAAAATAGTCACCAGTGTTGATGAATAACTCTCAGATGTATTTACACTGGCAAATATTGGTTATGCTGCTGTGCAATCAAAAAGACACTTTGTGTGCTCTTTATTTTTACATTTTGTTGCCCCATTCTCAGATAGACAGCATATATGTTAACAATGAATATTCTGTATATGCTCATTCTGTTCATTTTTCCGCATGGACTGTGTTGGTGTCCACATTAAATATTCACAAGACTTGGCATAGCTCTGCATGGAGCAAGACCTCGGTCTGTTTGTTGCCAAAACAAGCACAGCTTGCTGAGTGATGGAGACAATTAGCCAGTTAGGATTACTGGCACTGAAAGTTGAGACGCACAGTAGGTTTGATTTGAAAATGACGCTTTCCAAATGAGCAGAACGCATGACTACATTCACTGTGAAAGGCAAACTTTCGCCAACACAAATGGCTTGACTGGAGGAAAATCTTGGAAACCCTGCAAACTAAATGCATATCTAGATCAAATACACATCATTGCAAATGACCTTCAACATTTCCCCTTACTACAAAGGTTCTGGATACCTTAAAGCAGCCACATCCTACATTTTTTGCATTTTATTTTTCTTTATGTGAGGCCTACTCATGATATTTGTGTGAGCCAAAAACATATCTCTTAGAACTAGAGATTTTTGTTACTATGCCTTTAAGACAGTCATACATAAATGAATTGGCTGCCCTGTACTGTGTCTCATTCAACAAAAGTTGAAACCTAAATATATAAGGATTATAACTTCAACGTCAGTGGGTGAAGCTAAACTGTTGTTGGCTAAATAGATGGATATGAGTAAACGTGCTGTTTTTGTCATCACAACTCCTTAACAAGCCATGGGCCTGCCGACAGGCCCAAAGTTTTATTACACGCTTCTATAACATAGGAAAAGCTCCATTAGTTTGCACCGAAGTGCCTGTAGTTAATGAATAATAAGCCGTAGTATGTAATAAGCCGGAATGTTAAGGTGTTTATACAAATATGCTGTTTTGCAGATTCACTTCCATATATGAGACATTTGGACTGGGGAGAACAAATTAATATTTACATACTCATACTTTTTTTTTCAAAACAGCAAGGAAAATTTGGTTTTCCAGTTTTTTAAAGTATTATGCTCAAACCTGATTTCTTGACTAAATTTGGTTTAAGCAGGGCCTACCCTACATGATATTGAGCCTATTTTAAATCTAATTTGTTCCATCTGACAAATTTTCACAATCTGAAGTGATCTTTTCAGGTTGGCCGCTCAATCAGAAGTGACTGATGGAAAGATTGATCTGTAGTAGTGAGAGAAACAAAACAAGTCAATCTTTAGTTTTCTGGCCTTCAAATAATTTAAGACATGGTTTGATTTTTACAGCTCAAAACATTCATGAGTGTGGATGAATGTGCAGTGTGAAATGGTGAGCGATGTAACTAAACAAGTAATTCAGGCAAAAGCAATGAGAGAGCTAGAAGAGTGTAGAAAAAAGGCAAAGAGCCCTGTGTACACACTGTGTGTACGGTGCACTGCAGAGATAGAGGAGCTGCTTGCTGAACACAGCCTTTATAATGTATGGACCCAGACATCAAGGCACTCTTTTTACAATTTTAAGTCAGTTGCCAGTTTGAGGTAAAAACTTTCTCCAGCTCTTGCTGTGATATCTGCGTTTTTCAACCTCATAGTCCCAGTTTTGTGCACATAAAAGCACAAACATTTCTTGTCCAATTTAGCTTTGTTTGTATCATGTTATAACAGAGGAGATTTGAGGTCTTGAATGCTTTAGTTGGTGGTAGGCCCCCGAATACTGAAGCATGTAGTGCATAATCCTGTCCTCTGTTGCATCACTCTCCAAAGTGCCTCTGGAAGCAACGTCAGCACAAGAACTGTGCATCTGGAGCTTCATGAAATGGGTTTCCATTGCAGAGCAATGTGTAAATGTGTTCTTTGGAGTGATGAATCAAGCTTCACTATCTGGCAGTCTGATGGATGAATCTGGGTCTGGTGGATGGCCAGGAGAACATTACCTATCAGAATGTATAGTGCCAACAGTGAAGTTTGGTGGAGAAAGCATAAAGGTCTGGGGCAGTTTCAAAGTTTGGACTAGGCCTAATAATTCTAGTAAAGAGTAATGTTAATGCTACAGCATACAAAGACACTTAAGTTACTTGCTTTCAAATTTGCGGCCCCAGTTTGGGGAAGGCCCTTTCCTGTTCCAGCATGACTTTGCCCCTGGGCACAAATCGAGACCCATAAAGACATGGTATGATAAGTCTTGTGTGGAGGAACTTCAGTGGTCCGCACACTGTCCTGATCTCAACCCCATTCAACACTTTTGGGATGAACTGGAACATCAATTATGGGCCAGGACTTCTTATCCAGCATCAGGGTCTGACCTCACAAGTGCTTTTTTGACTGAATTGACACACTCCAAAATCTTGTGAAATCCTTTTCATAAGAATAGAGGCTTTTATAGCACAGGTACGAGCGGGGCAACTCCATATTAATGCACATGGTTTTATCTGGGGTGTCCAACAAGCTCATATAGGTGTGATGGTCAGGTGCGCACATACTTTTGGCCACATAGTGTGCTTCAAAAGAACTCAGCACCGCTAGAAGCCTGCCCTGTGCAGTCAGGGGGAGGTCTCGGAATGAATGATGCGGTGATTAGGATTTCTGTTTAGCAGCCGAGGCACATCGCATTGTACAAACTCTAACCACTGTATCATTTTGGCCAAAAAGACGTGGTTTTGCTTCAAAATGGCATTATTATTTGAATAATTCTGCCAGCTTAAGTCTGTGA